CGTTACGTTGCTAGAGGCTTCAGTCAGCGTCAGGGGGTCGACTTCTTCCAGACCTTCTCCCCCACCCCGAAGATGACCACTCTTCGGGTTCTGCTGCACGTTGCTGCTCAGCGTGACTACGAGCTTCACTCTCTTGACTTCAGCACAGCGTTCCTGCAAGGCAGCCTGCACGAGGAGATCTGGCTGCGCCGCCCACCTGGCTTTACTGGGTCGTTTCCTCCTGGTACCCAGTGGAGCCTCCGCCGGCCAGTCTACGGTCTCCGCCAGGCGCCACGTGAGTGGCACGACACACTGAGGACTACACTTGCGGCTCTTGGGTTCACGCCGTCTACTGCTGACCCGTCGCTGTTTCTGCGCACAGACACGTCGCTGCCGCCGTTCTACATTCTCGTGTACGTCGACGACTTGGTCTTTGCTACTGCTGACACTGAGGCACTCGCTCGTGTGAAGTCGGAGCTGCAGAAGAGACACACCTGCACTGACCTGGGTGAACTGCGTAGCTACCTTGGCTTGCAGATCACCCGGGACAGAGCTCGCCGCACCATCACCCTGACTCAGTCACACATGGTGCAGCAGGTCCTTCAGCGCTTCGGCTTCCAGTTCTCCTCACCACAGGCCACACCTCTGGCTACCAGCCACTCGCTCTCAGCTCCACCTTCGGACGAGTCCGTAGAGCCGAGTGGCCCGTACCCAGAGCTTGTAGGCTGCCTCATGTACCTGATGACTTGCACGCGACCTGACCTCGCGTACCCACTTAGCATCCTTGCTCGCTACGTTGCGCCTGGGAGACACAGGCGAGAGCACTGGGAGGCTGCTAAGAGGGTGCTGCGTTACTTGTGCAGTACATCAGGCATGGGGCTGGTGCTTGGAGGACGCGACAGAGTTGTCCTCACTGGTCACTCGGACGCTTCTTGGGTGGACGACCTGGCTACGCAGCGGTCGTCACAGGGTTACACCTTCAGCCTTGGCTCTGGTTCTGTCTCGTGGCGGTCCACCCGCTCTTCTTCTGTTCTCGGCTCTAGTTGTGAGGCTGAGATCTACGCCACAGCCATGGCTGCACAGGAGTTACGCTGGCTCACCTACCTGCTGACTGACTTGGGAGAGCGGCCTAGTTCTCCTCCAGTTCTGTACGGTGACAACAAGGCGGCTCTTGCCTTGTGTCAGGAGCACAGACTGGAGCACAGGACGAAGCACATTGCTCTTCGCTACTTTCTTGCTCGAGAGCTTCAGCAGCGCGGTCAGCTTCGGCTTGTGTACGTGGACTCGAAGGCCAACACTGCTGATATCTTCACCAAGGCGCTCCCGCCTAGTGATCATCAGCGGCACTGTACTTCTTTAGGCCTTGTGTCCACGTTTCCTCACTTGCTCACTGCTTGACATTCTTTGTACTGTACTTTATATTTGTCTTGCTGCTTGTCCTGTTCTATATCTAGCACTACATGTGAACTGGCCTTGTGGCCTTTGTTTGTGCTCGGAGTGTGGTGACGTTGTGATCCACCCTGGGCTTGTTTTTGCTTTGCTGGACTGGTCTTGTGACCCTTTGCTCTCCCCCACTTTGCCTATGGGGGTGTGTTAAGTTGTAATGTGTTATTTATATGTAGGTAGGCTGTAGTGGGGTAGCCAATACAGGGTACAAACCCAACTAGGGTTAGCTACTTGTACCCAACTGTTTCTTTCAATGCACCCATTCTTGCCTAGTTCTGTTAACAAGCCCATCACGCGAATGGTAACTACATGAAATTCCCACCGAAATTGAGCCTGATTCTGGTTTTTCCCGCTCGCGTCAGAATAAATTGACAAATCCTGAAGCAGAAAATTCTGACACACTCTCCGAAATTCTGACACAAAGTTCCGAAATTCTGACACACTTTCCGAAATCCTGACACATTTTCAGATTTTCAGGCAAATTACAAAAACGTAAGTTTTGTGAAAACAGCTTTTCTTACATAAATGTTTCTGGCGCACTTTCCGCAAACTGTTTGTACTTTATTCTATCGTGCAGCCGGGGCAAACAAATCTATATCCCTTTCAGATGGCAAATAAATTTGAGAGCAACAACCTTAAACTTCTTGCGACCAGGCGTTTATGGATCTTTATTTAAAAAAAAAAATGAAAGATGTAATTTTAAAAAGGTTGTTTTTTTCACATGAAAAAATCTTCCAACGTTGCAGTATTAAAAAAAAAGTAAACTTCCCAAAGTCCTTTCGGGAATAGTTTTTTTATCGTTTTGCAAGTTCGCAATCATGCTATCAAAATATGATGTTATCCATTTTTGTACGAGCTACATAATTATATATAAATTCTGAACTTTTCGGTCCGTGGTAATAGAACAAACGGGGTCCTTAATTTTCGTGGCGGGACGCGTTCAAGAAAGATAATGATGTGCGTAAAAGCTCTCAAACTCGATAAATTCCTTATTTTCAGGAAGATTTCGGCGGGAATTTCATGTAGTTACCATTCGCGTGATGGGCTGCTAGTGTAGAGTTACCAAATGTGTTAAGCGAGTTACCAAACGTGTTAAGCGAGTTACCAAACGCGTTAAGCGAGTTACCAAACGCGTTGAAATCGTTACCGTACGCGTTAAAGTGCCCCATGTAAGTTACCATTGACATATTTTCCCATCATGTCACACTGGCATATACCAGAATGAATACACCTGTACACTAACGAATTTATCACACAAACATCCGTGCCAACACATTTGATGTGAACATTGTTTTCCAGCATGTTTGTTCCAATCGCCCTTTATAAAGAGCTGCGTGAAGTACCCTCGATTCCACTCATCTTACTGTATTTACATCCATATGGTACCGTAATCACCCGGACAAAACACCCCCCCGTAATAGTACACCCCCGGGTAGCTTGTGCGGGGGGGGTGCTATAGCCGACCTCGTTTGTACTATACCCCCCCTTTTGGGGTGATTCTCTATAACACCCCCCTTTTCTTACGAAACCCTATTATAGCTGTTATCGAGTCAGATTTTTTACGGGAGGATATGACGAAAATCGCTTCCTGAATGAAATTTCGCGTGCACTTTCACTTCGAATCTACCGAGATTCCCTCCCTTCCACAATCTCGCTGTCGCCACGCTGGCGAATCTTCCGCTGCACGTGGCCCGAGAGGTGAAACTCACATTCTCGCCAAAACGCGAATTCTCGCCTCAACCTGTGATGTTAAAACGACTATTGAAACACCCAAATTGTCTAATTAAACTTTTTTCTTACACTAAAAAGTGCCATATATAACCACCCGGGTATTATATAGGATTTTCCGTTGAGAGCACCCCCCCCCCCCCCCCTTTTTTCCCTGTGGTTATCATAATACCCCCGGGTGTTATGTCCGGGTGATTACGGTATGTTCTGCATCCAACCACTTTCTCTAGCCTTTCCCACACGAGCAAGCCGAGCATGGCTCAGCCTCCAATCCCACGCCGCCACCTGTACTCGGCCACGAGCCTATCCGCCAGCGCAGCGAGGAGCTCCTCATTGGTGGGCGCCAGCTGGCAGACCTCCCCCGCCAGCGAGGGGACGACGTTGCCGTGGGCTTTAAGAGCTTGCTCTGCCACTCGCTGCAGCAGCTGGATGTTCCTCCGTGATGCGTTGTCCATCCTGGTCGAGATGGACGGCAGCGATTGCACCTGGAGGCGGGTGGGTGTTTGGGTTGGGTGGGTGGGGTAGGTGGGGAGAGTGCGAGAACGAAAGAGTCATAGGTACATGTAACGGCAGGGCATTACAAAGAGAGGCGAAAAGCAAGCCAGCGGGCACACAGCTGGCAGGATATACCGTAAGGCACCTCACAAACTTTCCCACTCCACTGCTCACTTCTCACCTCACCCCACTCACCTCAAAGCGAGTGTAGTTATCTATGGCACCATCTGCCAGAGCAAGAAGCACAGCTGAGCATGCACCATGCTGCCTGCCTTGTGAGGCGCGTCAAAGAGACTAGCTACACAGAGCCCACAGGCAAGCCCCACTCATGTCACTCCCCACTCACCTCAATGCGTGTGTAGTTGTCTATAGCCCCATCCGCCAAAGCCAGAAGGCACATATGCGCATGCACCATGTTGCCCAAGGAACCAGTAAGCAGGATTCATAAACACTCCCCACTCACCTCGATGCGGGTGTAGTTGTCAATGGCCCCATCCGCCAGGGCGAGAAGGCACATCTGCGCATGCACCATGTTGCCTCCCCCCCACACCATCACATCCACCATCGGCTCTGCCCACCCGATCAGCCCCCACCTGCCAAGAGGGAAAGCAATGACAATGCCAAACACAAGGCATGGGTGCACACAGGAGAGCATGAGTATGAGCGGTATGGTATGTCCCTCAGTGAGAATACGAAGTGACACACCATCACATCCACCATAGGCTCTGCCCACCCGATCAGCCCCCACCTGCGAAGAACAGAAGCAATGGCAATGCCAATACAAGCCATGGGTGAGAGGGCATGAGTGGTGTGTGTAACAGTGAAGGTACAGAGTGTAAGGTACTTGGTAACCACCGCACACCACCGCATCCACCATCGACTCTGCTCACCCAATCAGCGCCCACCTGAGAACACGCACTTCTTGACTTCATTCATCGAGTATCGCTGCATGTGCTCACCTGCTCCCAACGACAGCAGCACCATCACAAATCTCCGAAGAAGTTGCAACTCTCTTCCCAGTACCAATCAACCAATCAACCAACCAACCAATCAACCAACCAACCTCCTGGCACAAGTCCAGCACCAGACTCACACTTTAACGTCATCAATCGAGTATCGCTGCATGTGTACCCCTGCTCCCAGCGACAGCACCACCACATCTCCTCTTGCTTCACAGAACCAGACTCACAACACCCCCCATACTCACTTCTTGACGTCATCAATCGAGTATCGCCGCATGTGCTCCCCTGCTCCCAGAGACAGCACCACCACATCTCGGAACGTTAGCCGAGGTCGAGACAGAGGTTCTCCACAAACCTCGCTGCTGCCTGCCTCACTATCACCAGAGTCACTCACTTTTTGACATCATCAATCGAGTATCGCTGCATGTGCTCCCCTGCTCCCAGCGACAGCACCACCAGGTCTCGGAACGTCAACCGAGGTCGAGGTAGAGGCTGCCCATACAGCTCATTGCTTCCCGCTGCTTCCTCTCCTCCGGTTCCTGCTGCTGCTTCCCCTCCTCCTTCCGCTCCCCTTCTTTCTGCTACTCCCTCCCCTCTTCTTTCTGCTCCCGCTTCCCCTCCCCCACTTCTCACACCTGTTTCTGCACCCCTGCTGCCTGCCCCTGCTTCCCTTGCCTCTCTCTCAACCCCTGCCCCATTCCCATCTTTACTCTCCCCCAAAGCACTATGAAGCAGCGGGCTCGCACCCACCTCTGCTGCCTCCTCAATATCTCCAGCTAATAAACAGCTCGCATCAGCAGATGCTGCACCAACCATTGCTGCTGCAGGTGAGTTTTTCCCACGCCCTGCCGCTGCCTGTGAAAAGCTATCTGAAGCAGCAACAGGTGCAGAAGACGAGGCATGAACTGCAGCACACGGTGCTGCAGATGATGCCTTGATCCCCCCACCTCTCGTTTCCCCAACGTCGGTACTGCCTGCACCGTTGCTTGCGGCAATGCTTGTATTGTTGCTTCCCCTGATGCTAGCACTGTTGCTTGCACCGTTCTTGTTGTTTTCTCCGGGAGGTTTGAAGGTGGACGGGTTGGCAACTATGTGAAGGAACGCTGCTACAGTCTGCAAAAGACAAGACATGCAATCCATGAGGACAAGCAATGCCATCCATAGGACAAGACGACACATCAGAACCATACATTTCATGGAAGTAGTGTGAAATAGAGAAAAAGCATTCTCGTTTTCGCAAAGCGGAAGACAATGGATACACTCTGTAACAGGACACAGAGAGAGAATATTAAGAGAGTAGTGTAGAATAAAAAGAATCACGCAGAGAAACCATAAGGCATAAAGATAAAGAGTAGATATGAGAGTTAATTGAGAAGTCAAGACGTGAGAAATTCAAGTAAAGCATGACAGTAGAAGAGCAAACAGGGGGCGAGCGGGGGAGCAGCAAAGAAGTGGTAAGTAGTGCTGACAGTGCTTCTTTGCTACTTCCTTCCAGCACAGTGCTTCCTTTCACACCATTATCCCATCCAACGTCTCCTCCAATCGCAACATACGAGACCAGCATGCCACGATGCCACCAAGAACCCATGCCCACCCATTTATAGTGCTACTAGCCAGGATGCCCCAAGCTTACAGGGTTATTGGCAACCATGCCCCCATCCACGCACACCATCTCCCTCCGCCCATCCACTGATCGAACGAGAGCCGGCATGAAGATGCTGGGAGCCGCTGACGTGGCTCTGCACGCCTGCTCGGGTGGAAAGAATAAGAAATAGAAGAACAATTGATATCCATGCTTCCACATTCATGTGCTGGGAGCCACTGATGTGGCTCTGCACGCCTGCTCGGACCAAGAGCAACACCGACCACGGAAAAGAGGGGGAGGAGTAAAGGAGAGGAGAGTGAGACTTTAGGCTGGCAAGCTGTCTTTCTGGTTGGTTCTCTGCTCTGTCTCTACTCTATGTTGGTTATGGATGGTTGGATCCTACAGGCCCAAGTTCTCTCCGCGCACTCGCGTGGTGAAAAAAAGATAAGTTTTTCACCCTCAACGTAAATAGCCAGGCTGCACACCACATTCTTCATGACTGCATGGCGCGCAGGCTGGGTATCCATGTTAAGGGTTAAGGGCCTCACCTTACGAGGCGCCTCAAAAGTTTTTCATCTCAACGAGGACAGCCAACCTGCGCACCACATTCTTCATGTCTGCATGGTGCGCAGGCTGGGTGCACACGTTACGGGTTAAGGGCTTCACCTTTTTCACCAGGCCTGGAGGAACTAACCATTCATAACCAAGTCATCGATAGACCAGGGAAGCAACCAAATGTACAGTTTGCCAACTCGACGGACACAAATGACACGAGTAACAACCAGCGGAGTAGACAGAGCAACTACAACTCACTTTCTGGTCATATCAGGCAGTGACCGGGCATGAAAGTTCCTTTAAGCAACCTCGACCCCCACCTTTCTTTGAACCTTTTCCTCTGAGTGCTAGAATCACCAAAGGGCCACAAACCCTGTCCGGATTCAACAAGAACTCGCCAGGATGAGTGGGAAGTCGTGGCTCATTAGACAGTGCCTCAGGCCGAGAGACGCGAGAAGAGACACAATCGGACAAAGCCCTGAGGCTGGGAGGAGGAGAGGGGCGAGTGCAAGCAATCACACGACTCACCATCGCAGATCGTCCGTACAAGGTGCCACCACAACCCACCTGGATGAGCGGGAAGTCATGGCTCGAGTCAGATTGTGCCCTCAGGCTGAGAAAAAAGTACGGCCGGGCGGCGCTGATATCATATGACGTCAGCAGGAGGGGTTTGACGGCCTCCGATAGGCAGAGGTCCGCCGCACTACAGTGCTGCCTGAGGAAATGACGCAGAAGCTGCTCCAGGACCTCCACCTGACGAGGTTATTGGGATGGGAGGGGGTGCAGAGGGGTGAAGATGGGTGGAAGGAATGAGCAATTGTGCCACAGTACTGCCTGAGGAAATGACGCAGAAGCTGCTCCAGCCGATCCACCTGAGAGAGGTGGGGGGAGGGAAGGTGTTGGGGTGTACAGGTGAGAGGAGGGAGGGGGAACAGGTGGGGGAAGGCGGGAGAGGCAAGAAGAGGAAGGAGTGGACTGTGGAAGGAAGCCACCTCGTCTTGTATCTAGAAGCTCCTCCTAAACTAAAGATGTGCTTGGAGTGCAGCGACCAGTAGTCAACCATGCCCATTCAGCCCCTTGTCCCCTGGTCCCTCTGTACAAACAAACTGCCTCACCTTGTATTTAGGTTGCCATATATTCCTCAACGGGGCAGCCCATCGCTTGAAGCGTTCGCCTTCGCCTGAAGATGTGCTTGGAGTGCAGCGACCAGAAGTCTGCCACGTCCTGCCTGTGCCCTCATGGCTAGACTCTCTGTTGGTCGTCTGGGTGTGGGGCAAGAGACCACTCACCTTGTACTTTGGCCGCCATATATTGCGCAGTGTGGCGGCCCATCGCGGCCAGGACCTCCGCCTGAAGATGTGCTTGGAGTGCAGCGACCAGAAATCTGCCACGTCCTGCCAGTGCCCTCATGACTGGCCGGTCGGGTACCCCTGTCGCCCTGTGGGATGAGCTTGAGAGTATTCTCACCTTGTACTTGGGCCGCCATATGTTCCTGAGTGTGGCGGCCCATCTGGGCCAAAATCTCCTCCTGAAGATGTGCTTGGAGTGCAGGGTCAATTTATACTCCTTATAAGCCTACTCACCTTGTACTTGGGCCGCCATATATTGCGCAGGGTGGCAGCCCATCGGGGCCAGAATCTTCTTCTGAAGATGTGCTTGGAGTGCAGCGACCAGAAGTCTGCGACGTCCTGAGCCCTGATGGCTGGTCGCCCTGTCTCCCTGTGGGGTGCTGTGAGCATGAGGGCCAGCAGACCACCGCCACTGGTGCCTGGTGGAACAGGGAAGTAGGGAGCGAAGGAGAAAGAACAGGAACTTGCACAGCTTGTTACCCTTGTTCTGAGCCCTCATGGCTGGTCGACCCGTTGCCCTGTGAGGGGCTGTGAGCATGAGGGCCAGCAGACCGCCACCGCTGGAAACTAGAGAGGTGGACGGAGGAAGGGAGGGGAGACGGGAGAGAAAGGAATGGCAGACCTTGTTCTCTATACTTGAGCTCTGATGACAGGCCGCCCCGTTTCCCTGTGCGGCGCTGTGAGCATGAGCGCCAGCAGACCGCCGCCGCTGGTGCCTGGAGGAAAATGTAAAGAAGTGAGAAGAGAAGAGATGTGCCTGGAGTGCAGCAACCAGAAGTCTGCCACGTCCTCAGCCCTGATGGCCGGCCGCCCCGTTGCCCTGTGGGGCGCTGTGAGCATGAGGGCAAGCAGACCGCCTCCGCTGGTGCCTGGAGAGGAATGAAGAAGGAAGGGGAGACGGGAGAGAAGGGAAGAAGTAGAGGAGAAACCTTATACATCAATCTTTTTTTATTTTATTCTGGGTTCTGACTGCTGGCTGCCCTGTGGCCCTGTGGGGCGCTGTGATGAGCAATGAGCATGAGCGCCAGCAACGAGGTCAAATAAGTCAGCCACTCGCACGTTGGCATCCCCACATCGCTCCTGCATTATGGCTTGGCTTTTAGGCGAACACAGACGTGCGTGGGAATAGTCAGCCAGAGTGAAGGGGAACGGAGCCACTCACCAGCAAAAAGGTCGAAGAAGTCAGCCAGGCGCACGTTGGGATCGCCGCATCTCTCCTGCAGCATGGCTTCAAGGCGCACACAGATCTGCGTGGGAATGGCGTCCCTCACTCCCCCTCCGTCATGTCCCTCGCATCCATCCACACTCGGCACGGCTGATTCTTGAAGAAGTCTGACTCCACTCACCAGCAAAGAGGTCGAAGAAATCCGCTAGTCGCACGTTCGGATCCCCGCATCTCTCCTGCAGCATGGCCTCCAGGCGAACACAGATCTGCGTGGGAATGGCGTCCCTCACTCCCCCTCCGTCCACACTCAGCACTGCCAACAGCCGTGGGGGCCTTAACTCAGCACCATCTCTTGTTGCTGCAGAAGAAGCATCAGCACCACTGGTTGCTGCCACGTCAGCATCATCAGCACCAACACCACCTCCTCCTCCGCCCCCCCTCTCTCCTCCTATAATACCAGGGCTAGCCATGCCTTCGCACCTTCCTGGAAGATCCGGGTACATCTGCATGAGCACGCCACTGTTGGAAATCAAATTCCCCTGTAAACCCTCCTCCAACCTTTCTCCCACCCCCTCTGCCAATCCCTCTTCCAATCCCTCCCCCGATCCCTCCCCCACTCCCTCTCCCAACCCCTCTACCACTCCCTCCGCCGCCCTTACACCCCCACCCCTCTGCTGCGAATCCTCCCCCTCCCCAGGTGTCTCAAGACTCTCCCGCTCACCCACCCGTTTCAAGCCCCCCACAAACACCACCTGCCCCGAGCCTCCTTCCCCGGTTCGGCCCAAACCAGGTGCCCCAGTCCGGCCTGAGCTATTTGGGTCGGCGTACTCTTGTCTGCTCCTGTCAAACACAGGCTCAGTGCCTCTGCCCTGTTCATGAGGTGATTCAGATGTTTCAGGTGATTCTTCAGGTAACTCTCTGCCTCTCCCTTTCTTCCTTCCCCTGGGCCCCCGGAAACACCACAAGCACCCCTTTCCACGCCTCCCCACTCCTCCTTCTACATTACTTTTCTCTTCTTTCGCCACCTGCTCACTTTCTGTGCTGATCTGGCCAGTAGAGGAATCTTGATCTTTCTTCTTCGAGGCCCAGAAGCCAGTGAATCTGTGCCACGTGGACGCGTTTCCTCCCCTCATCTGCTTCACTGCCAGCTCACATGCCACACACTCTTCCTCACACACCACCACCCCTTCCTCCCTCACTCCCTCACGCACTACCTCACTTTCTCCCTCACTTTCTCCCTCACTCTCTCCTGCACTCACACTCCCCTCCGAGTTTTCCCAATCCTCTTCTTCACACAGAACCTCCTCCGCTCTCTCTATCTCCCTCACTCTCCCCCTCCCCCTCCTTTGCATCCCTTCCCACTCCTCTTCATCCCCACACACCACCACCTCTTCCCCCATAGCCTCTCTCTCACTTCCACCCCTACTTCCCCCCTCTTCTTCCTCCTCCTCATCCTCACTAAGAGGTTCGAACACAAGTCCACCCGGGGAACGAAACGAAAGCTCCTCGAAAATCTCACAACCCTCCATCTTAGAAGCTCGATCTGACAAATCCCCACCGTCCGATCCTGTCGCCATAACCCTCCCTGTGAATCAGCGCAGCGCCTCCCTTCCTTGCTGGGAATCGAGTTGAGAAGACCGAAAAACACGCAATCGCAATTCTTGCTTGGATCTCTCTCCCACCGCCCACCAACCGCTAGGAAAGGTGTTCGCTGGATTTAACCTCGTTATTGTCGATCTCGTAGATGTACAACGATCGCTGGATGCACAGTAGTACACTGGTGCCAGTACACGATCATTATGGTGAATTGTCTGCGGTTTAGGCGAAGCAGCCAACCATACTGCAAGCCTGATCGGCGCATCGGACGGTCCAGATTGTTCTTCCATCGCATCGACCGCTCTTGGGGAATCTCGAGGCAGCAACATGCACCCAGCGAACCTATACCAGGAAGCTCCAATATCGTGACTCTAACGAAATATTGTTCTATTAGCAGGTTGGCCGAAAGCTTCGAATTTGCTCAGCAAGCGCCAGCTGGTTGCGCTAGTGCGACGCGGCAAGAATGACGCAGGTGTAATGAGACTGAGCCTAAGCTGTGTGGGCAACAGCTGTGACGTGGCTACTAGCGTGACGTAGCGATGACACGAAGCGCTCGTTGCTTGAATTATCATGCAGCGGGATTAGCGACCGCAAGGCTGGGATGTGACGTGTCTCGTACTGTGACGAGAACAAGTCGCCATCACCATGGCATTGCCCACCCCGTATTGTTTCTGCAGGATTCAGATTCAGCCCACAGATTCCGTGCATTAGCATCGCATTCATACCCCACTGTACAGTTCTGACTGCAGACGGAACCGAACCAAAAAGAGCCGAAGAATTACGGTCATGTAGACCGCGCTATGGAATGAACGAACGTTTTCGATGAAAGAACATGTAAAACATCAATATTTCTCTACATGCTACACCCTAATGCAACCCAACTAAGCTGCTTCTTCGTCATCATCTTCAACACCAAATACTGATGCAAGTTTTTTTGGTGGACCTGCAGCTTTTGACTTCCCCAAAAGGCCCTGTAAAACACGCACAACCGGTTGATGATCAAATAATAATATGTTATAAGACCCATATGGGAGTGCCATGCACTGCTTCTTCCAAACCACGACGTTACCTTTTTTGCACCCCCTGGTTTAGTCTTCATCGAGATGCCGAATTTGAGGGTAGAGCGGTCAGCGGGAATTGCTGCTGTTGGACGGGGTGCTGCTGATGCAGCTGATGCTCCTCCTGCTTCTACAGCTGCTGCTGGAGCCACTCCTGCTGGCTGCTGCTGCTGCTGCTGCTGCTTCTGGGCCTCCACACTGCAAGGACCAATAACAAATGGTAAGTGAAGAATATTGAGGCAAACGCCGCTTCACATGCATTTTTATTCACCGCAGTGCCAAGATGCACACAGTAACAAAAGGTGTTGCAGAAAAGCCTCTGAGCAAGGACCCACGGCTTGCGTATCACGTCAGCTCCTTCCTCAGCTGCTCATCTCTCAGAGGCGACATCTGAATCGAGTCAACAACCAGGCGAAGCGTCCAAGGCCCCAAGCAAGATAAAGAGCGACTCACAGTTTGGTGTCGCATGCTACCTCCTTCTCCTCCCTCAGCTGCTCCTCCCCTTAGAGTCATTTGAGTCAAGTCGACAACCAGGCAAGGCATACCTAAAAAGAAACAAAAAGGTGACTCACAGCTTGGCGTATCGCGCCAGCTCCTTCTCCTCCCTCAGCTGCTCTCTCCGCTGCCTCTCGTCCCGCACTCCCTGCTGCTGCATCTTCTTGGTCTCTTGGAATCGCTGTGCAGAGACATAGTGGTGCAACGGAGAATGGAGAACCGAGAATAGAGAATGGAAAACAGGGAATGGAGAATAGAGGTGGTTATATCAGAGAATGGCAAACTGCACGGGAAATACGGCTAGTACAAAAAAAGAAATAAAAACAAACAAACAAAAGAAACCTTACCTGAAATGAAAATAAAAATGTTAGCTACAAATATCAGTTAGTTTATCGAAACACAGGGTTAGTCATTATGCGTGGCACAGCATGGAGCAGGATTTTAGGCCATTATTGTAATGATAGGGAGACAATACAATAGCTCTGAACACACACCAGCGACATAGAATCCCTCAAACCCTTCAAACCTCTCAACCGGCACCTCTCTGCACCGCTCACCTTCCTGTGGTTGTGGTCGTAGCTGCTGAGGTGCATCTCCATCTCGCTCGCCAGCTTGTACTGCTTGTTGCACAGCTCGCACAGAAACACCTTCTGAATCTCCTTCACGTCTGCCCGGATCTTCTCCACCCGCTCCGCCTCCTCCTGATGATGCCCAACGAGTCACGGTGTGTGTGTCGCACCCAGGTGCCACACATGACGTGTGTCGTACATGTGTCGCAAGATGTGTCGCAACATGCACCGTCGTGCATCAGGCACACCATGTCACGCCACAGTTGCGTGGGTTCCACACGTAGCAACCAGCAGAATGTGGCCGGCCACAGGAGGGGTTTCGCGGAGCAGTTGCAGCATCACCAGCCACAGTGAATTGTCGGGTTGAGAACGATAAGCACCCATTTGGTAGGGACAGGTATCCGTTAAGGAGAGGAGGCGGAGCGGGAGGAGGAGGAGGAGGAGGAGGAGGAGGAGGAGGAGGAGGAGGAGGAGGAGGAGGAGGAGGAGGAGGAGGAGGAGGAGGAGGAGGAGGAGGAGGAGGAGGAGGAGGATGAGGAAGGGGATGGGATGGAAAGACGTGCAGGCAGAGGGAGGGAAACAGGAGAGGAGACAGAAGGGAGGAGGGAGGCAAGGGGAGAACAGGGTAATAACAGCCAACGGGGCGAGTGATTCACAGCGCGCCTCTCCCTCCTGCTTCCCTTGGCGATGGCCCCTGAAGCAGCAGTGCAGCAGAGGGTGCGTGTGCTGTGCAGATTGGGAGAAATGACACGAGATGCGAAAATTCCAAGCTGCGACAGTACATGATGAGAGAATGATGCAGCCTGTTCTGTTGCTGTGCCTGGTGGCTGGGGTGGACGAATTGTGAGGGGCATGAGGAGGAATACGAGGGGCGCAAGAAGAGAAAGAGTGGTTAGTAATCAGAATTCCTGGTGGTGAGGAGAGAGTGAGTATGCATGACGGGGAGGAAGGAGAACTTTTGCATGCATTAACAGGAGCAGAATGTGCGCCCTGCTTAAACCACACGGTGTAATTCGTCCTCTCTACGCCTCACCTCTCTCCTCCCTTCACGTCTCTTTTCTTCTACACCTCCTCCACTCTTTTTCACACCAACTACAACTCCATTGCAGCTTCCAAAGGGATGATACTCATCTCTTCCAACCGCACTGAACCCAGCTTTTTCTCCTCTCACCTCTCTATTCTTTGCTTTCTCCTCTGTCTCCTTCATCTCTATCTCCAACTTCCTCCGCTGCACTTTCCCCTATGCCGTGTACACTCCGCCTGCTCCTGCTTCCTTATAAACAATAATCACCTTTCCCAACCGCTCTGAACCCAATCGCAGTTCCCCTCACCTCTCTCTTCTTCACAATCTCCTCTGTCTCCTCCACCTCTATATCCAGCTTCTTTCTCTGCACGTTCTCCTCTGCCGTGTACCACTCCTCATCCTGCTTTCTTATAAACCATAATCACCTTTCCCAACCGCACTGAACCCAACCCCACACTACTCTCACCTCTCTCTTCTTCGCTATCTCCTCTGTCTCCTCCACCTCTATATCCAGCTTCTTTCTCTGCACGTTCTCCTCTGCCGTGTACCACTCCTCCTCCTCCTGCTTCCCCAGCCCAAGCCGCGCGTCCCGCATTTCTGTGCGAACTGGATCCACTATGCCTGGGGGAAGAGGAGAAGAGGAAAAGGGCACATATCTTCCTCAGCTGCACGTTCTCCTCTGCAGTGTACCATTCCTCCTCCTCCTGCTTGCCCAGCCCCAGTCGTGCGTCCCTCATCTCCGTTCGCACCGGATCCACTATGCCTGGAAGGAGAGAAATAGGGGGTGGAAGGGGCGGAGCGGGTGAGGAGATTGGGGGGATTCGACACAGCTGAGAAAGCGCCCCTCACTGTGCTGGGTCCACTATGCCTGGGGGTTGCTTGCAATAGTGCCGCCGGAGGAAAGGAGGGGGACACAGAAGGAGGTTTAGAAGCGAGCTTTGAATCGACTCTAAACGCGTCCCTCACCTCCGTACGCACCGGATCCACAGAAGGAGGGGACAGGGAAAGAGCGGGGCATAGGTGCCAAGGGGGGGAGTGCACAGGGGGGGAGGGAGTGGGGGGAGGCGGGCAACTGGAGGCAGGAAAGTGGGGGAAGAGGGGGAAGAGGGGAGGCACATATATTTGTTCACTGCCCGTTCTCCTCTGCCTGTCCTCTGCCCGTTCTCCTCTCCTCCTCCGCCTCCTCCTGATCCTGCTTCCCCAGCACCAGCCACAGTAGGACTTTGAGTCGACGCATAAATCGTCACATCTCTGTGAGCACCAGATCTACTATGCCTGGCGGGAGAGAAGGGGGAAAGTGAAAGGGGTGAGGGGAGGGGAGGGGGAGGAGAGTAGTAGGGTTAGGGATGGGTGAGTCTTGACACGACTAAAAAATCGTGAGCACCAAATCCACTTTATCTGGTTACTCCAATTGACCTTAACTTTCTCTCACGTTCCGGACCTTTTCCTTGCCAACTTTGCGTCTCACCTTGCTCGTTCCTTCCCAGCTCCTTCCCCCGCCACCCCATCTTGAGCAGCAGCTGGAACCCCACGTTGCTGCAAGCGATTGGCCTGTCCAGAGAAGCCATCTCCAGCCCGTCGCCGTCCAGATTCTCCCAATTAGGGTTTCTCACACTCTCGGCTGTCTCTCCCTTGTTTCCCGTCATTTCTCCTCTCACTGTGGCTCCTCTCACTCACGTCTCACCTTGCTCGTTCCGCCCCAGCCCCTTCCCCCGCCACCCCATCTTGAGCAGCAGCTGGAACCCCACGTTGCTGCACGCGATTGGCTTGTCTAAAGACGCCATCTCCAGCCCCTCGCGGTCCAGATTCTCCGTGATCCGATGGTCGATCGGCAGTCGGAACTCATCTCCATCGTCCAGAGACTGCCACGTGGCGAACGATGGGTGGTGGGGAACACGGGGGATAGAGAGGGCTGATGATTAAGAGGGGGAGGGAAATCGGAGTGAGAGGAGGGATAGGGAAGGGAAGGAGGGGAGGAAGATGTGAAGGGCGAGAAGAGGATGAGTAGAGACACGCAGAGAAGTGGAAGGATGATGAGAAGGAGAGTGGCAAGGAGGAGGGATGAGGGAGAGAGGTGAGAAGGAGGGACGAGGTGCGTATGCGACTTGTTATTGTTTACGGACTCGATTATGCAACAGGTAATGCCGGTGACTGCTCCTTGACATAAGAGTCGACTTTAGAGTCACCTCGAGACGAGGTGCATCTGCGACTCGCCGATTTCACGGACTGATTACGCAACAGCAGTACCGTTCCTTGATGTTACTCCCAACGAAACTAAATCGTCTTTTTTCCCTTTCCTTATGTCCAGATGAAACGTATTCCGTTACCTGCATTTAAATCGTTCGCAAACCGAGAGTAGCTGCAAAAGTAACCCGCGCGTACGACGAACTCGAGTATAATTTTCTCCAAACTAATGGCTTCAGGCACGAGGATGCGGAGGGACGTCAGAAGGCTAAAACAAGACAATGCCCTGCGGTCCGTAGTTTTCTGGTGAACTCAGGAATTCAGGATTTCTGGTGACAAGTCCTCTCAAGTAACCGTTGGGTGGAAATCCGGGCGGAGGCTTTTGGCTTCTTTGCTTGGCTGGGAATGGATCGCTATCGACTGATTGGCTGACGAACGAAGGCGAATTGGCGAAGTTGCAGGCCACGAGAGCTTCGGAGTCTACCTTTGCTCCGTCACTTCGGACCTGGGATGTAACCAGCTTCGATGTGGTTGCCACGACTTACAAAGAAAATGGAGTTCTGCGAAAACCTGCGACGTAGTTTTTGTAGCGAAACTACTTTTGCGTGATCGCCAAAGCCTGCACGATGCAATTCGTAATTCGTGAACTACACAAGTTTCGAGCTTTCACCAATATGCCGCCAACTAACTAGGGTTCGGTTTGAACGAGCTTCAAGGTTTGCGTTCTCAGCTTCTTAGAATCTCGAATCGCGATCCGATCAGCTTCTAAGCTCCTTAGGTTATTGTCACAAATAAACGAATAGTTTTTAGGCAGAGTTAGGTACTTTGGCAGCACGTTACCGAATCTTAAAGCGATAATAAGATAGTTCACGCTTTTCAGCAACAAGCAACTTCTACCATCTCGACTGCTGTGATTACTAACTAAACACCGATAGTCCTTCACCACAACCTCACTGACGGACGCCATCATATTACTACTACTAAACGGTACCCGGCTTAGTTGTAATCCTTTTAAGCGTGAGACGGAAACGGCGAGCTTTTGCGAGGTGCCTTTTCAGTCGACTCACAACATTTCGCCGTTGTAGCAGTAGGCGATTGCCATCGATGGCGCGGCAGGTGTCGCGCGATCGGCGCGCGTCAGACAAGGACGAGAAGGAAGGCGCGGCTTCAGGATCCGATTCGAAGCGGCGACAACGAGCGGACGCCGGGCGGCGGTACGAGGCGGAGACCCCTTCCCTGGGGAAGATCGCAGTGGCTTTCCTCCTGACGGCCCTGGTCGCAGCGCTGTGCGCGGTCGTCGTGTATTTCACGCAGGATCGTATGGTCAACGCTGGTGAGTTTCGATTTCTGGGATGTCTAGCGCTGTGCGCGGTGGTGGTATATTACATGCAGGATTGCATGGTATGCTGGTGAGTCGCCGTGCTCTCGCATGGCCAACGCTGGTGAGTCGCCGCAGAGCGGACGCCGCGGTGGCGGTATGAGGCAGAGTCGCCTCCTGTGGGGAAGATCGTGGTGGCTTTCCTCCTCACGGCCGTAGTTGCAGCGTTGCGTGCGGTGGTCGTTTATTTCACGCAGGGCCGCATGGTTAGCGCTGGTGGGTCGCCATTCTCTCAAACGAGGTTACTTCTGAGTCACCTCAAGAGTCACGTTGTGGTGGTTTTCCTCCTCGCTGCTCTGGTCGCAGCGCTGTGCTCGGTGGTCGTGTGTTACACGCAAGGTCGCATGGTTAACTGTGTTAGCTGTGTCAGTTAACTGTGTTAGCTGTGTTAGCTGTTAGCTGGTGAGTTAGCTGTGTTGTCGCATGGCGAAGCTCTGTGAATCGCCATCCTCTTTTGAGTCGGCGCAAAAGTCACCTCGGAAAATTGCATGGTCACGCTGGTGAGTCGCTGTGCTCTCGCATGGTCAACGCTGGTGAGTCGCTGTGCTCTCGCATGGTCAACGCTGGTGAATCACCACGTGCCGCCTGGTCGATGCCGCGGTGTTATCGCATGGACAACGCTGGGCTATACAAGTGTTGTTCTGGGACATCTCAAAACAACACTTTTATCACATCGCTGGGTGAGTTGCCACGTGCTCGCTTTGTCGATGCCACAATGCTCGCCAACTCCTTTTCCCCCACTGACGGGCTTTGCTTCTCGCCGATGCGGCTGCAAAGCATGGTGAATGCTGGCAAGAATCGTCTGATTCTTGTATCGTCCATTTGATCCCAATGCCCCTGGGATTAATGGTGAGGGCAGATCTGTGATGAGGGAAGGACATGGTTTTGGATTGCTGTACTGAGCATGGTGGTTGTGATCTTGTGATTTTGTGACTGAAAATGTGATCAAATTTCATGCTGTATTATGAAGGGCTATTCTGCAATCTTGTGATTGTGAAGGGAGAAGATGGAAAGTAGGAGGGAGGGTGGAAAAAAAAAAGTCGTTAGGAAGGGAGAGAGGAAGACAGACGAGAGGAGGAAGCAAATACAAGTGTTGCTCTCAAGGCCAGAGAGGGGGGAAGAGAGGAATGGAGGGCGGATGAGGTATTGGAGTGAGGGAGGAGCTATGAGTGTGGAGCATGGTGTAATGCTGCGAGGCAGAAGAGAAATATATGATGGTTGGTGTAGCAGGCTAGAGCGGTGAGTGAACTATGGGGCAGTGAAGAACGAGTGAACTATAGGGTTTAGGGTGGAGAATTGGATGGGAAATCCTTCAGTTGACGAGTAAAGCACAACATGAATATATTGTTTACTGTTTGCTGCTGCTTCATCCCTTGTCTGCTCAACCGATTTCTGCTCTTCCCTTCCTTCCTCCCGCTGCGTTCCAGTTGCGTTACAAGGTTACAAACTTCATATGCTGTACAACAACTACACTGTAGCAGCCAAGAGGAGTATCAATATGATCCTAGGGCTCCCCATGCCTAAGGAGTGAACGGCAAAGTGCTGTGTCGCATCTCTGCCATCGCATCATCTCTGCCATCGCACCATCTCTGCCATCGCACCATCTCTGCCATCGCACCATCTCTGCCATCGCACCATCTCTGCCATCGCACCATCTCTGCCATCGCACCATCTCTGCCGTCGCACCATCTCTGCCGTCGCACCATCTCTGCCGTCGCACCATCTCTGCCGTCGCACCATCTCCGCCATCGCATCGTCTCCGCCATCGCATCGTCTCCGCCATCGCATCGTCTCTGCTGTCTCTGCCATCGCATCATCGCTCCCGTCGCATCACACCACCGTATTCTGCATCCTTCCTGCCAGCTCTTGCCACTGTTGTCCGCCCCTTCGTTCAACATCTGCTGCTCCTGCTGCACCTTCCCTTTGCCTCAGCGGTGCTGACAGTGATCATGTGGTGGCCAAATGTTGATGATTTATTAAACAGTTGCTGGAGCCTGCTGCTGGAGGCGATGCTAGTGGTGGCTCTGCGTTTCAGATGAGGTACCACACATTCTAAAGATACCCAGTGTTCCATGCTTACACCATCTTGTTTTGGAATGACTTGTTGCAAATCTGTGAGCACGATTATGCAGGGAACGGCCTAGAACAAAATTATCAAAAGACAAGCACACTTAAGACAATGCTGTTTATTCAACCAAAGAAAACACGGAATGTTGCTGTCAACCTCAGCCCACCCAGCATTGTTCAACTTATTTCCCCATTCATTGTGACAAATCCTCTCTTGGCCCAGCCTAGTCGCACTTGGAGCGGCACTTCTTGGCCTTGCGCTTGCACTTCTTGTAGTCGTCCGTGCACTCCTCATGCTCCTCCTTGTCGTCTTTGTATTTGCGCTTGCACTTGGTGTAGTCCGTGTTGCACTTCTTGTTCTTCTGCTCGCACTTCTGCTTGCAGCTGTGCAGAATGCGGTGCGCCTGCGGGGACCACAGGAAACGCCTGCTTCCACCGAACAGCTTGCTCAGGAAACCTGCATAACACAAAGACAACAGAAAGCATGTCAAAAGGCAACATTTATCACTGATAATTCGAACAGGAAGGTCGCTGGAAATGGCGGCACGGAGCGGCAAAATATCATGCTTGGGGTTGGTCTGAGGTGACGCACCAGGCTCCGACGAGGCGGAAATTTCGGTGTCGTTGTCAACGTCAGCATCGAAAGCATCATCTTCAGCAACGATCTCATCCGCGCGGCAAAGCGGCGCGAGCGCGAGGGACACAACCAGGGAGAGCGCGAGCAGGATGAGAAGCTTGGAACGCCCCATAGCTGGATGAGAAAAGGCTCGGAGCTAAGTCGTTAGAAAGTAGCGATGAAAAGCTTGGAAGAGCTTTTCTTGAACTGAATGAATTTGAGAATGGGAGCACACCTTTTGTACCAAATTCGAATGCAAGGCAATGCTTACCCTGGCTGGTCTATACCGAGGCGGGACTGTGGGTATGGGACGGCTCGGCAAAGGCGGCTGCGAGGCGGTTCGGGTCTGGGGGATGTACAGTGGTTACGGAAGAATTCAAGCTGGTTGATTGCGGTGCGAGGCTCATTTGAAGGTGAAACTTCATTGAGAGGTCGGGGTCTGGTATGACGTGGCTACATTTTGCAGGTTATTGGCTGGATTTAGATAGGTTTGATTTCTATGTAGGTAGGGATTGGTGGGTCCGAGCGAAAGCATTTTCCAGGTGGCAAAGTTTCAACCATGTTTACGAAACTGTTCGCACTTTTTGTGCTCGAAATGAGTTCGCGAAACGTTACTGGAAATAATACGAAACGGTGAGGCTGTAAACCAACAGGCGGCCAACTGCAGCGCCTCCCGCGCCGCAGTCCTGATTCTCGCCCTCTAACCTTCATCGCGCCCCCCCGATAAAGCGAGGTGGACAAGCGCACCAATGGGAATCGCTTATGCACAGCAGGCTGCGCCCCGAACATCAACAGAGGTCAAGAATGGGAGCTATACACTGTCATACTCTATGCAATGTGCTCCAGTGCACTTAAAGAGTATGTGAAGAAAATATAAATTATGCCTCTCATTAACGGATTTGTGTTGTAATAATGTAGATAATAAATATGCAGACAGCAAAGAATTTTCCCCTACACTCGCTCGTGAAAAGAAAAAAACAGATGTCATCTATTTTGTCCGCGCGTAAACCTTCATTCCGTCAACGGCATTTTCAGCTAAACACATTTAATATTTGTGCAATTCTACTTGATAATTTTACCAATAAAGCAAGTGTACATAGTTCATCTACTTCCAGCGATTTCTGTGTAACGCGCCTTGGCGCCCCAGATCAGACGTGGGCGTCTGACACACACCTGACAGCCTCCCTCAACCCCAGGTTTTCGCCAATCGCGAAAACACAGATTCCATCTGTCGCACTTTCCACAGTCCCATGACCGATCGTCGTTCTTGAGCATGTATGCAGTGCAGTTCAAACCTCATCTAACCGCTCTAAAAACGCTCAAAGTGAACCCCATCACGGGCTCGGGATTATCAACTTTTCCGAGGCACGGTCGCATTCAGATCCGACTTGCCTAGTCTAAACATCTTTCGTTCATTGGGGAAGGTTGAGACCACCCGTACTGACGATTCTTTCATCTCAATGCGTTACCTTCTGTAGTCTTTAGGAGACGCTTTCTAGGTTGAGGCTTAAGGAACGTTTAGTACCTCCAAGGACAGATTGGCACGAGTTTCAAGTCAGCATGGCGTCAGCCGTCGTAGACGAGAAGCTGCTTCGATTTGGTCAGGCCCTCGAGTCTGTCATCGATGCGGAGATTGAAAAGATAGAAACGGATGACATTCAACAACTAAGAGAGCGACGTCTAAAGGAGCTCAAGCAACAGGCACAGAAGAAGCAGGAATGGCTAGCAGCCGGTCACGGACACTATAAAGAGCTGTCCTCAGAAAAGGAGTTCTTCAGTGAAGTCAAAACATCAGACAACGTTGTCTGTCACTTTTTCCGAAGCAGCCGGCCGTGTCAGGTTCGTTTCTATGCGTTCGAGAGGAGGTTCTTTATTAAGCATCTCGCTTAATTTCTCTCGTTTACTTTTTCGACGTTTCCTGAGTCGACTCAACATTCGCCTCATCTTTTCACAGATCATGGATAAACACCTCGAGATCTTGGCGAGAGAACATCTAGAGGCCAAGTTCCTCAAGATCAACGCGGAGAAGAGCCCGTACCTCGCCGAGAAACTGCGTATATTCATGCTTCCGACGCTGGCCTTGGTTCACAAAGGCAAAGTCACAGGATACGTCGTAAGTAAAGACGCTGGCCTCCGTTGTCTTATTCTGCAAAATAAGTAGGTTGTATAGAGTTATATTGCGAAATTTCCCCCTAAAATGCAGGTTGGATTTGACGAGCTTGGCGGAACCGAAGATTTTCCCACAGAAGTACTCGAAACCCGACTCGTCCTTGGGGGAGCGCTCTCCGAGGAGAAGCTGTCTGGTCGACGTCAATCCAAGCAGACAGCCGCTACCGTGAGACGAGGAGGTGACACTGGTAGCGATGACGACGATTACTGACACTGGCTGTGATGACCTAGATTACAGAGCCATTTATTTGCTTTCCTAACGGGCTTTAGATGCTATACCATAATAGGAAAGAATGTCAGGTGGTAGACCAAGCATTGTACAATAGTCACCGAACTTACCCAACCAGCCAATTAGTTTACTCGCTTTCTGGATTGCTTTCACAAAAGCAAAACATGTTATGTGAGATGAATCAATACCATATGAAGGGTGATCAGAGAGTATACCTGTACGGGAAGAAGGGTACTGGTAAGGTAACTGATTGCCTAGAACGTAGATGAAGTGTAATACGCTAGATCTTCTATCTCATTAATAAAGTACAACCAAAGTTGCGGCTTGCCATTCTCATGAGTGTGGTTGTGTGTACGCGTCCCACTGGTTCATCCCCCCAGGCGGTGCTACAGTAGCATCAGGTGCAACGTACGGAATGGTCGGCAGCACCGGGAACAACCCCTCCTGCTCCTGCCCGTAGGTGTACTGCTGAGCTGGCGCCTGATAATGATGAAGCGTGCTGTATTGGTTCTGATGCGCCTGGTAATGCTGGTTATAGTAATCATTACCGTAGGCGTAGCTTTGATGCTGGTGATAGTCTGGTTGTGGGGTCACTTGCTGCTGGTAACCCACAGGGGCATACTGCTGAAGAGGCTGCTGCTGCTGCTGTTGCTGCTGATATCCACTGTAGCTCCCTAGTACGCCTCTAGGATCAGAAACGGATGGCTGGGATGCACTTGTGTAGAAGCGAGCGAACGGATTTGATGCTCCCTGCTGCTGCTGTTGCTGCTGTTGCTGCTGCTGCTGCTGTTGCTGCGGCTGCTGCTGCTCTTGCCGCTGCTCTTGTTGCTGGTGCTGCTGCTGGCTTGTGAGAGGAGGAGAGCGGAAGCCGGACGGGAATTGAACCTGTGAGGATGATTGAACAGCAGAGGGAGACTGCAGGCCTGAAGGCGATTGCAATTGAGACGGCGTTTGAGCACTGGAGGGAGGGGACTGAAACGACGCTGGTCTTAGAGAGGCAGGCGGCCGGGCAGACGGCCGAGAATGGGAGTGCTGCTTGTGCTGGGATCTGTTCAACCCTGCTGCTGCTGCTGCTGCTAATCCTGTTGCTCCTGCTGCTGCTCCTGCTCCTGCTGCTGCTCCACTTGAAGATCTTCCCCTGGCCAAATGAGCAGGAGCAGCAGCAGATATCGAGGGAGTGACCCATTGCACGTCCGGTGGGGGAGGCGACGCAAAGTCGCCACTCACCCCTCCCGCTCCTCCTCTCCCTCCCGCTGCCATTCCTGCTGGCGCTGCGGACGCCCCCCCAGTGCGCCCCTCCCCCACGCCTTCGGACGCCAGACCCAGATTCAGCTGAAACGCACCACTCTCCGCCCTGCCTCTCGCGTCCTCCCTGCCCCCGCTATCTCTGCCTCCCCCTGCTGCCACTGCTGCTGCTTCACTCCCGAATCCCCTTCCCCTCTCCTCCGCTCCACCTCCTCCTCCTCCTCCCCTTCCCACACCTCCTGCTCCTGCTGCCCCTGCACCATCTGTCTCAAGGAGAAAATCCGTGATGAAATCAAGAGTGGGGGTGTTGACTCTCGAAGGCCCACTACCAGCACCACCAGCAGCCTCACCAGCACCGGCAGCAGCACCAGCACCAACAGCAGCAGCGCCAGCAGCGCCATACGTGTCTGCTCTCTCAGCTGCACCATAGGAGCGGTCGAATGTGCTCGTTGGCTCGGCCCTCCGGTCGTCCCTCCACACATCCAGCAATGTGTTCACGTCTGCTCGTTGCCCTTCATACCGCTGTTGCTGCCCCTGCTGCCCCTGCTGCCCCTGCTGCTGCTGCTGCCCCTGCTGCTGCCCCTGCTGCTGCTGCCCCTGCCCCTGCTGCCCCTGCTGCCCCTTCTGCTGCTGGGGTTGACCAGAGATACTGGGTACTGCCCCCCTTCTCACAGCAGCATTCGTTGCTGGTAACTCCTCCCCCTCGCTATCACTCAAATCGATCGGATTATCCTCCCCTCCCCGATCCCCAAACCAATTCGCCCCACTCCCTCCACGCACTCCTGCCCCTACCCCCACACCCCCACTTCCCCCCACACCCCCGCTTTCCCCGACTCCTCTCCCCCCCACTCCTCCCACTCTCCCCTGGCTCGCCTCTCTCCCACGCCCACTGTTCCGATTACCGAGAGAGGACCTGTCTTCATGCCCTGACTCTGCTGTCTGTGCTGCTCCTACACTAGACGTCCCCGCTGTCCCATTCCTCCCAGCTACAGCCGCTCCTCCTGCTGCTGCTGCTACAGCTGCGCCCATGCCTGCTTGCACTGCTCCTGACGCCCCAGGCCATCCCGCTAGCGCTGCTGCTGTTGATAAGTCTCCATTGCCGCGAGCGCTGAATCCCCGTAGCTCCCCTGTACCCCCTCTGCTTGTATTCCCTCCAAATCCAAGAGACAAACCAACGTCTTCTCCTGCTAGAGTAGCTCCGTTTTCCCCTTCTCCTCCTCCAGCCCTGCCTGTGCCTGCTCCTGATTCTACGCCTCCTCTTCCTATTGGCCATCTGGTGCGCTGTCTCTTGGGAGTGTGCACACCAATGGGAGCAGCAAATGTACCAGCAGCACCAGTTGCACCAGCACCCCCATCGGTACCATCTCCGAGCAACTCAATCACCACTGGCTGCTGCTGCTTCTGCTGCTGCTGCTGCTGGAAAGGCAACGCCTGCTGCTGATAATACTGCTGCTGCTGGCCTTGCTGCTGCTGATACTGCCCCAACTGCTGCTGCTGCTGCTGCAAAGCCTGCCTGCAATCCACCTCACTCCCTCCCGCCTCATCCTTCCCCATCCACCTCCCCCTTTTCACCCTCGACTCACCAGACAGCAAGTCCCACGCCGCACCCGACCGCGTCCCACTCGTCACATCATCTGCCGTATCCCCTTGCCCCTCCACCATCCCATTGCCATTCTCCCCCACTCCCACGCCCACCCCCACCTCGCCCCCCACTCCCGTCTCCCTCTTCACCTGCCCTGCAGGCAGGCGCACGTCTCGCCAGGGGAGGTCGGAGACAGCAGGAGTTGACTTGGCTGACTTGCCTGCTTTGGTGAATTCCATGCAGGCATAAAACGAAGAAACGAGAATCGATGTGAGAGGAGATGCACTTAAGTAGAAAGAAAATGAAGAAAGAAAAAAAAGAAAAAATTGCTGCAGCGGCGGCGGCAGCAGCAGGCATTGACTTGCTTGACTTGTCTGACTTGCCTGCTTTGGAGGCGCCATGCAGCGACTCTAGCTTGGGCCGCCACGTGCCGTCCGCCCTGAGTTGAATGTCTGTCACGTCACTGTCATACTGAGCCATCTGAGGAGAGGGAGGGGAGAAGGAGGTGCGCGGAAGAGGGGAGTGGAGGGGGGGCGGGTAAGAGCTCTTTGAGTCGCCACGTGCCACCTGCCCTCAGTTGAATGTCTGTCACGTCACTGTCATACTGAGCCATCTGGTGATGAGGGAAGGGTGGGGAGTTTGCAAGGAAACGTGTAAAGGGGGATTGCACTTCACAACGTGCCACCTGCCCTGAGTTGAATGTCTGTCACGTCACTGTCATACTGAGCCATCTGGTGGGGAAGGAGGGGGAGAGGTAAGAGTAAGCTCCTTCATGTGCCACGTCACAATCACACTGAGCCATCTGCAGGGGGAGGACAGGGAGGAGGGTTGGGAGAGTAGGACGGAAGTGAGAGGGTTGGTAGTAGTGAGCCATGTGCCATCCGCCCTCAGTTGAATGTCTGTGACGTCACTATCGTAGTAAGCCATCTGATGAAAGGGAAACAGGTGAACGGCGGAAGTAGAGGAGTAAAGGGGAGGCGGAGGAGAGGTAAAAGCTGGGAGTGAGCTTGTTTGGGTTGCCACGTCTCGTCTCCCCTCAGTTAAATGTCACTGTCGCAGTGAACCATCTGAAGGGGGAGAAGGAGGTGCGTGGAGGGGGGGAGTCGGATGGGAGGCGGGCAAGAGCTATTTGAGGCAGCATGTGGGGTCCGCCCTGAGTTGAATGTCAGTGACGTCACTGTCGTTGTGAGCCATCTGGAGGGGAGGGAAGGGTGGGTTGGGGAGGGAAAAGGGGGAAGGAGGGGAAGGAGAAGGGGGAAGTCTAGAGAATGCGGGTGAGTGAGAGGGCAGCAGGTGTCGAGGGAGATCCTTTTCTGCGCCACGTGCTGTCGCCACTCAGTTGCCTGCTTTACAGCCGGCGTGCACCGGCTTTAGCTTGGGTCGCCATGTGCCGTCTCCCCTCAGTTAAATGTCAGTGACGTCACTGTTGTCGTAATGAGCCATCTGGAGGGGAGAAGGAGGTGCGTGGAAGAGGGGAGTGGAGGGGAGGCAGGCGAGAGCCCTTTGAGGCGGCACATGCCATGCTCCCTGAGTTAATTGTCAGTAACGTCACTGTTGTGCTGAGCCATCTGGAGGGGAGGAGGAGGGGAGAAGGAGGTGCGTGGAGGGGAGGCGGGTAAGAGCTCTTTGAGGTGCCACGTGCCATGAGCCCTGAGTGCAATGTCAGTGACGTCACTGTTGTACTGAGTCATGTGGGGAGAGAGTGGAGGCGGGAAAGGGGGACAGGGGGGAGGGCAGAGTAGGCCCGGTAGCACTCAGCAATGTGGCGTCCGCCCTGAGTTGAATGGCTTTTGAGTCGACTTAAAAGTTGAATGTCAGTGACGTCACTGTCGTATTGAGCCACCTGAGGGGGAAGGGGGGGAGAAGGGGAGAGGGGGAAGGGGAGAGGGGGAAGGGGGGGAGAAGGGGAGAGGGGGAAGGGGAGAGGGGGAAGGGGAGAGGGGGAAGGGGAGAGGGGGAAGGGGAGATGGGGAAGGGGAGAGGGGGAAGGGGAGAGGGGGAAGGGGAGAGGGGGGAGGGGAAGGGTGGGAGAGGGGAGGGGGGAATGGGAAGGGGATGACATTATGTACATCGTTTCTTGGGAGGAGGCGGGGGCATGTTTGTACACCTCATGGCCTTACAAACATGCGCACTGAGAGGAGGCGAGTGAGGAGGGCAGCAGGCGGGGGGAGAGAGGGAGGGGGGGGGGGGGGAGAAGATGGGGGGCGGGAAGAGGAAGATTGGACGCACCTCTTGGCAGACACGGTGAAAGGGTTGATGATGAGCGAGTGGGGTGGGACACGCGAGGAGGTTAGTAATCTACGAGATCTTCGCAGTCCTCCTGTTTCATTCCAAGAATTGTCTCGATTAAAGTGGCTGAAGTGATGTATTATGAGATATCTCACTTCCAGGCACTTTAGTCGAGACAAGTCTTGGAACGAAGCAGAAAGGGTGCGAAGATCCCACAGATTGTTAAAACTAAGATATTGTAGTGAGAAAAATGTTTCAAAGATATATGGAAGAGATGCCGACTCGAAGCAATTACCAAGTGAGCAACGTAGTAAGCTGGCCAGATCAAGAAACAACTCTGGAAGCTTCGATACCTTTGGACAATCACATATCACCAACCACTCGAGCTTCTTCAGCAGTCATCGTCCCTGGCACATGGCACGGCAACAAGTGACGTACGTGGCAGCAGGTGATGTACGTGGCAGCAACTGGTGTGCGTGGCAGCAACTGGTGTACGTGGCAGCAACTGGTGTACGTGGCAGCAACTGGTGTACGTAGTAGCAACTGATGTGCATGGCAAAAACTGATGTGCATGGCAGCAACTGATGTGCACGGAAGCAATTAATGCACGTGGTGTATATGTGTTTGCTTGCGGGAACGCACCTCCCAGAGACGATTGGATGGCTGAAAAAGCTGGAGTGTTTAGTGATCTCTGATTTTCCAACGGTAAAAGAAACTTCCATCAACCGTGAAAGCTTTGATACTCTTGGACAATAACAGATCACCAGCTACTTGAGCTTCTTCAGCCGTCCAATCGTCTCTGAGACATGACACCGCAACAACTGATATATGTGGCACCAACGGATGTACGTGGCAGCAAGTGATGCACGTGATGTATAGGTGCTTGCTTAAAGGGAACGCACCTCCTCACAGACGCGGTGGAAGAAGGGGTCGATGATGAGCGAGTCGAGCGTGTAGAGCTTCATGCACACGGGGCACTGCCACTGGGGGGAGCAGAGGAGGGGAGGTCGGGAGGTGGGAAAGGGCGCAGGGCGGAGGGAAGGAGAAGAGTGAGCTACGGTTGAGGTTCGATGGGGTCAATGATGAGTGAATCGCACTAGTGAATCGCATTGACACTCGCCCTTCAAAAAAATCACACCTGCGCACCTCAACTCTCAACGCACCTTGCGAGCGCGCTGGTTAAATTCAATGAATGTGTGCAGGTCGAAGCACCCCATGTGCGCTCACTCATAACCTCCCCACCCCATGTGCAAACAACGTATCAGCACACCTGCGCACACATCCCTCAACATACCTTCCTAGCGCGTTGGTTGATCTCAATGAATGTGTGCAGGTCGAAGCACCCCATGTGTGCACACTCCCTGAACCGCCCCGCCTCTCGAATGCGCGAGCCACTCATCTGGGGCAGAGGGGGAGGAGGGTGTGAGAGCAATCGACCAAAATCATTAACCAGCCTCCGAAATCAAGTGGGAAAGAGGGGATGCGGATGTGATAATAGGCAGTCATCTGAAGTAGCAAGGGAGGGAGGCAGATGTAACTCTGCAGTCAGTTGCGATGGGAGGAGGGTCCAGCCTTGCTGCAAAGCCACTAGTCCGTGGCAGAGCAGGATGGGTGTGTGTGTGTGCGCGCGCGCGCGTGTGTCTGTGTGCACAAGCACACTCACAGGGCAGCGCAGGTTGAGCGTCACATGATCCTGCATCACAATCAAATCGCTGCTGCTGCTGCTATCCGAAGACACTGCTGGTTTCGCCGCACCCCCACCCCCCCCACCTCCACCACCTCCGCCTCCACCACCACCACCACCACCACCTGACCCTCCTTTACCACCCCCTCCCCCCCCTCCTCCCACACAGCGCTTCACTCGAGCGAGGGCGGATTCGAGTGACTCCCCCACGTCCAGAGGAGGAATCATGGCCATCACCTGGTGGTACGGGGGGGAAGGGCGGTGAGTTGGGGAAGGGGATGAGGGGAGGAAGGGGGTGAGTGGGGTGCAGGATGAAGGGATTGGGAAAGATATGTGTTTCACTCAAGCGGGAGACGACTCGAATTTATCCCCCACGTCCTGAGGGGGAATCATGGCCATCACCTGGCGGTGTGGGGGGTTAGGGAGATGAGGGGAGAAAGGCGCTGCTTCAGACATGTTTACGCAAAGCAGTGATTCGAGCGAAGGCAGATTCTAGAAAGTGCGGACTCGAATGACTCCCCCACAATCACGAAAGGCATGGCCATCACCTGGTGGTATGGGGGTGCAGGAAGAGGGGATGGGGGACGAGGTGAGGATGGGGTGTGAAGATAGGGTGTAAGGGTGTTAACCCAAGGCGCTTCACTCGAGCACACGCACACTCAAGTGGCTCCCCCACGCCCACAAGAAAAAACACTGCCCTGCCATTACCATACAGCGCGACGGGCCGCAGCTGCTGTTGATAACAACCCACACCCCTGCCTGCCTCTTCACCACGCATCACAACATATCACCGCATGTCACTGCACACCACACCACATCACCCCACTTCATCATGCCACCACCACCACAAATCACCGCACATCACCACACGCACCTCGTCAAAGGACCGCTTGCGGATGATGCGCACACCGATGCAGAAGGGGCGCTTGTCAATGGCAGCCATGGCCACGTGGTTGTCCCCCGCATGGCATGCCTCCGCTATCTGAGAAGACAGAGGGGGGGAGGGGGAGGGAAGCAGGAGAGAAAGGGCAGAGGAGGAAAAGGTTGAAGGGGCCAGGCCAGCAAGGGGCGCTCGTCAATGGCAGCCATAGCCACGTGGTTGTCCCCCGCATGGCACGCCTCCACTATCTGGAAGGGCGTGGGGGGAGGGGGAGGGAAGCAGGGACAGAAAGGGCAGGGGAAGGAAAGGTTAAAGCGGGCAGCAAGGGGCGCTTGTCAATGGCAGCCATAGCCACGTGGTTGTCCCCCGCATGGCACGTCTCCGCTATCTGGGAGAGGGGGGAGGAGGGGGAAGGATGGGGAGAGGGGGGAGGAAGCATGGGAGAGAAAGCGCGTGCTGTCGGTTGCGATGGCAGGCAGTGCCATGTGGTTGTTGGTCGATGGCAGCCAGACTGGTTGGACCGTTGCCCCCCCCGCATGGCACAACTCCTAAGTCTGTGCAGGCGAGGCAGGGGAGAAAGTACATGGGTGAGAAAGGAAAGGAGAGGGCAAGCCGTAATAAAGGGTGAGACGGCAGCTCATGCACGTGCGGAACAAAGGCAGCAAGCAAGCAGGCATGTGTTGAAAAAGGCAGGCAGGGCACGCAAGGAAGGCAGAGCATACCGAGGGCCTGTCGTCGTTGCCATTGGTTCCCAGCAGCATCAAGGTGGCAAGGGAGCGTGCAAGCCGGAGAGGCAGCATGAAAGAGCAAAGAGGAATGTGTGAAGGGCGACAGGGAGGTAGACAGGCAAGGCAGAGCAGAGCATACCGAGGGCCCATCGTCGCGGCCATTGGCTCCCAGCAGCTGCTGCCCGGGTCGGTTGGTGACTCGTACACTGCGACCTGTGAGTGAGAAGAGGGGACATAGGAGAGGAGACAGAGAGGGAGGGGGCACAAGAGACAGTAGGAGAGAAGGAGAGGCAGTCAGAGCACCCTTGCGGAACCAGTTGGCTCTCAGTAGCTGCTGCCCGGGCAGGTTGGTGACTCGAACACTGCGACCTGCGAGTGAGGAGAGGTGAAGAGAGGGGAATGGAGGGAGGGAAACGAAGGCAAGCGAGAGAACAAACGAGGCAGCAGGAGAGAAGGGGAGGCCGTCAGAGCACTGCTGTCACGGCCATTGGCTCCTAGTAGATGCTGCGACGCGTGGGGAGAAGATGGGAGGAATGGTGAGAGAGCGAAGAGGCATGCACAGAAACGCTTGAGCGAGTTCAACACTTGCGTTCCTTATCGCTGTTATGCAACGCAAGAACTCGAGCCTAGGAACTTGTTCAACACTTGCTGGAGAACTGGAACTTCAAATGAATCTGATCTTACCAATTGCTCCCAGTGTATTAGAAAACCAATTACACACACATACGCACGGCACACATGCACACGCATGCACGCACCAAGCACGCACGCATGCGCACGCACGCGCACACACATGCACACAGCACATAGAGATCTATCTTACTGTTGATTTGCAGCTGTGGGTATGCAGGCCAGTGCATGCGGTTGGCGGTCTTGTCGTTTAGCAATACACACCATACCTGGTGCCATCCGGTAATGGGGTCGCAATTATTCATAGCAATCCATTAGTGAGGCAAGGGAAAAGCCAGCACACAATTTGGACATTTATGGGACAACTGTGAGAAGAAAGAGAAGCACTTTTCGCATGGCTGTGAAGCGCGAGCAGTCGGAGAAAGTGGGCCAAAGTGAAGCAGACTTAAGCAAGCTACAATGTCCTTAACAATCCTCCATTTTAGTGTATTACATGACAAAAGCAGAACGTTAACGAAGCTAGTCGCGTTACCTGCATGCACAGATGCAGTTTCAGCTGACTTGTCTCACCTGCAGGTAGTGGTGCGGCCGTCTGAGGAGAGAGAGGTCGTGCGGGGTGAAGGTGAAATTGTGCTCCAGCCGCTGCAGCACCTGATTGCTGCGGGGATGAAGGCGAAATTGAGGAAGGGTGGGAGGGAGGGGAGGGGAGGGAGGAGTGAACATGAGAGTGAATGTGTGCTCTAGATGCCGCAGCAACTGGTTGGGATCGGCGGGGGAGAAGCTGAAATTGAGGAAGGGAGGGAGTTGTGAACATGAGAGTGAATGTGTGTGTGCTAGGCACTGCAGCAACTGGCTGGTTGCTTAGGGAGAAGGTAAAATTGAGGAAAGAGGAGGAGAGGAGGGAGGGATAGGGAAGGGAAGGAGGGTATAAACATGAGAGTGAAGGTGTGCTCTAGGCGCTCCAGCACCTAATTGTGGGGCATGGAGAAAAGGAGCCACAGGGGAGGTGTGGAAAGACGAAGGGAGGCAGGAAAGAAGGGCCTGGCCACGATATGATATGATTTGATACCACTGCTTCTCCCGACGCTTCTCGCAACAGTGGTAACACCGTATCACGGGTTTAGCCTCAATGGCTGACTCGAAACTCACCTTACCTCATCAACGTTCAACCTTGAACCTTAATGGAGCAGTTTTGTAGGACACTCACTCTCCGGGCACCTTCAACACACTCACTTGTCCCCGGGCAGGCGAATGAGTGCAGTTGGTGGCATCGGATTAGCCACAGGGACAGAAAATCTGATATCGGGCAGACCAGAAGCACAAAGAGTGACGAGGGAGGGAAAGGGGCGGAGAAGAAAACAAAAACAAAACCAAAAGGAAATGGGTAAGGAAAGAAGACAAGGAATTTTTGGAGCCCTGAAGTCGAGAGAGGAGGATAGGAAGGCTGGGGAGGGGAAGACGGACAGCGGAACGCCGTGTCTTCTTTTAGGACACATACATACACATGTCATGGCAGTCAAATGGCAGGAGACGTGTGTGTGTATGGTGTATAGACATGACATGGCATGGCAGGCGGGAATGAGAGAAGCTCTTAAGACTACATACGGCATTGCAGAAAAAGCGATATGGGCAGGGCAGCCACGTGGCAGGCACAAGGATAAGCGCCATTCTCCCTCAGTGTGTGACACTTACAGGTCTCCACCCAGTGCAGTAGTTAAGCTAAAAGTCACACTAATATGTCAATGTCCCCTTCCCTGACACTTAGCAGTCTCCCTAAGGGTCACACTTACGGATCTCCTCTGGCCATGCGGCAGAGCTCGCAGTAGTGGTGTTCTGGGAGGGGCGGGTCAGGTTGGGGCGCTGCTGAGGAATCACCCGTAAGCGGCGGGTTGTCTGGCAGAATGACGCACTTCACATGCTGCCACACGCCACAGCCCTGACCCTCGCACTTGGTGAGGAAGATGGGGGAATGGGCATGAGGGTATGGGAAGCAAGAGGGGTTAAGGAAGGAGCAGGATGAGCGTGAAAAGCGGGTTCTCTGGCAGAATCACGCACTTCACATGCTGCCACACGCCACAGCCCTGGCCCTCGCACTGGGTGAGGAAGACGGTGGAAAGTGATGTGATATGATAAGGAAGAAGGGGAAAAATGGGGTGGGGAGAGAGGGGGAGGGGGGAGAGGGAGGTCAGAGGAGGGTCCTCTGGAAGAATCACACACTTCACATGCTCCCACACAGCACATCCCTGGCACTCGCACTGGAAGGGTCGGAAGTGGTGGGGGGAAGGGGAAAGGTAAGGGCAAGAGGGGACAGAGGCGTTATAGACACGAACACACCACCTACCTCCCCTTTTGCATTGTTTATATACAGGCACGTCCCACCACCACAGAACATCCTCGGTCCACCCACCTGGACCATAGTCTTCCCGTTGTCAAAGTTGACTTTTGAGTCGACTCAAAAGTCAACCACCAGAGAACATCCTCAGTCCACCCACCTGGATCATAGTCTTCCCGTTGTCAAAGTTGACTTTTGAGTCGACTCAAAAGTCAACCACCAGAGAACATCCTCAGTCCACCCACCTGGATCATAGTCTTCCCGTTGTCAAAGTTCCGTAAGCAAACACACCGAATCACCTCCGCCTGCTGCTGCTGCTGCTGCCCGTACACATCCCCCCTTCCCAACGCCCTCTTACTAGACCTCCCTCCCCCCCCTTGCTCGGTCTTTACTCCCCTTGATGACCCATGCCCGTGCCCACGCCCGTGCCCATGCGCATGTCTACTTTGCTGCTGCTGGTGGTGCTGTTGTTGGTTGTGGTGGTGTTGCTGCTGCTGGGGGGAGGCGAAGCCTCCATCAGGAGCCATGTTCCCGCCTTCCCCTGCTCTCGCCTCTGCCACACCCACTGACTCTACTACCCTGGCGCCTGTTTCTGCCCCCACAGCCGTCTCTGCTCCTCCGTCCCCCCTCTCCGCGCCCTCCCCGACGTCCCTGTCGACCCTCTCCTCTCGCCTCCGCTGCGGCTGCACTGGGGAGGCGACGGGTGTGTCCGCCTGCCCCGTGCTTCTGAGCGACCTGCAAGATGTTTTAAGGCAGTGATCATGGGGGGATGGGGGACAGTGTGAGAAAGAACGGAACAAGGCATCTCCTTTCGCCTCCGCTGCGGCTGCACTGGGGAGGCGACGGGTGTGTCCGCCTGCCCCGTGCTTCGCAGCGACCTGACGTGGGGTGGGAGGAGAGGAGGAATAAACGAGGAGGAATGGAAGAAAGGACAGGGAATGGGAGACGTGGAGGGCGAATGCACAGAAATGGCGTCTGGGGAGGTGAGCCGCCGCCGCCTGTTGCCCTGCCCCATGCTTCGCAGCAACATGACGGGGATAAAATGGGAATGGAAGGGATTTCGGGGTGACTAAACACGAGATCTACGCCTTTCCCCATGCACGTTTGCCACATGCACGTCTGCGCCTGCCTCACATGCACCTCCCTCGCATGCACCCCCCTCACATGCAACCCCCTCACATGCACCCCCCTCAGATGCACCTCCCTCCCTCACACACACCCCCCTCACATGCACCCCCCTCACATGCACCCCCCTCACATTCACTGCACGCACCACCCAAACATGCACCTCCATCACATGCCATCTCTCTCCCACCGCACACCACACACCACTTTCTGTCACTGTACCTGTACGTTTCTTGGATGAACTCGGCTACTTGCGCAGGAGTGATGGTGGGTTACCTTACCCTCTTCAACATGCACCTCCCTCACACGCTCCACCTCCCCAACAAAGCACTTTCCGCCCACTGTACCTGTACGTTTCTTGGATGAACTCGGCTACTTGCGCAGGAGTGATGGTGGGCACGCCTGCACGGAGGGGTTGATGCCAGGGAGAAGGAGGAGGGGAGGGGAGGGAGGGGAGGGGACGGGAGGTGAGGGGAAGTGAGGGGAGGGGAAGGGAGGGGAGGGGAAGGGAGGGGAGGGGAGGGGAGGCGAGGGGAGGGGAGGTGAGGTGAGGGGAGGGGAGGGGAGGGGAGGGGAGGGGAGGGGAGGGGAGGGGAGGGGAGGGGAGGAGAGGGGAGAGGAGGTGAGGAGAGGTTAGAGGAGGGGGGAGAGAGGAGAGGAGGGGAGGGGGCGGCTGAGGGGAAGGGGGGACGGGGACGAGGAGGATAGCCCGAGGAAACAGGCCTCTGAGGTGGCATAAAGATGACATATGGGAGTTATGAAGGCCTGACAGGTAGGCCTGCATCAGCATTGGAGGTTGATTGATGTTAGGTCGACGGGAGGGGAATGAGGTGGTGGTACCAGGGGATGTAATGAAGGAGCAATAGGAAGGAGGAGGGTGAATGAGGGAGCTAGGGGCGGCCACGTGGCAGGAATGGCGCTGAAGACGAGGCGATGATCGGTAGAAGTTTGTTGAGAAAAAGGAGATGCATTTACAGCCTTTGAAAAAAGGAGATGCAAGCCGTTGGACAGAGGAGATGCACTTACGGCCGTTGAAGGGGACGGATGGCGATGATAGGAGCGCTTCGATTCGATCAACCAGCACCTGTTCCCCATGGCATGGCATGTGAGGCATGGCATGCATGTGAGGCATGGCATGCATGTGAGGCATGGCATGCGTGTGGGGGATGGCATGCATGCGAGGCATTTGATGCATGAGATGTATGAGCATGATGCGGAAATCACTTTTGCAATTTCTCAAGCGACTTCCATGGCATTTGATGCATGAAATACATGACAATGATAAGGACACGGATAGTGGGAATTGTTGCATATCATGCGGAGAGGACATGGCACAAGGCATGAAGCGTGGGGTGAATGCATGGCATCGCATATATGCATGCATGGTATGTACGGATGCTGTGGTATGTACATATGTGTCATTCGCATGATGCATGGTACGCATGGTCAACGATGCTAACAGTGCAGAAGCAAAGAGGCGCATGGGAAGAATGACCTGCAGCAGGAGCAATGAGTAACCTTTGCCTCACAAACTGCTTGCATCGAGGCGTCAAAACTAAACAGAACCCGCATGCAGCAGCACTCGAGCACTTGTCAGTCAGGACCCGATGCTGCAAAACGCCCAGTGCAATTCTCTCATGCTGCTACAATGCTGCATGCCCCAGTAACCTTCGTTACACCAGCAGGTCCCAAGGGACGAGTCACTGGGACGAGTCAGTCACCTCCCTTGTGCCACAAGATGAATGCTCCTGTCAGTCGATCAGGACCCAACGCTACGATGCACCCACGGACGCACATCAGGTGCGCTTCTTATAGTGTTGCCGTGCCGCTGCTGCCTCCTTGGCTTCACTCCACTCCACAAGCAGTCTATTTTTGGTGGATTATGTTAGTACGTCGCAGCACCTACCCTACAACCCCTCAGCTATTGAGTCGACTCAAAGGCACTTCGTTACAATGCGGCTTGCCCCATCCGGTCCATTAGAAGACACTGCCTGCCTACCAGGTAAATCACGTCAGCACCTCACAGCACAACATTTCTCAACGATTACTCAGCTTTCTTCTTACAATACTGTTGCCTCTGCTGCCTCGCTCGTTCCAGCACCAGTCACTGCCAGGTGAACCATGTTAGTACTCACAGCATTTTCCAAAACACAACTCGAGATTTTCTTTACCGTGTTGCAGACCCTGCTCCCTCGTTCGTAGCAGCACCAGTCACTGCCAGGAGGTAATTCGTGTCAGGAATTAGCAGCATGCCAATCTCCACACAACATCGCACCTTCTCCTTCTTTCCCACCCATCCCGGCTGCTCATGCAACATTGCCTGCCTGTCAACCCCCTTTATCTGTGCTGCGCTACGGCCTTTCAGTATCCGCGCTATAGAGCGGTGTCAGCGCAAGTAACTGACCTGCTTCTTGCCGGATTTTGAGAGGCCTAGATGGCCCAACACGTCTTTAAGCTCCTTCAGTCGGAAACAGGCGAGCTTCGACTGCACGGAGGGAGGAGGAGGAAAGAGTTGGGGTGAGCGAGAGAGAGAGAGTTGGTAAGGACTATTTTTTTAAAGGCCAAAGAAAACAAGACGCTTATTAAAACACTTGGACCTTGTAAAAACTAAATCGTACTCCCACCACACGCCATTCTGAACGATGGCTTGGAATCACGTCACGGCATCAGTAGCTGTGCTTGAAATTCATATGGACAAGCTCGCCGCCAGCCGATAAAAAGGGAACACTCTTCACGCGTGAAGCGCATGAGGCTTATAAGAACAAGCAAGGCGGACTCGAACCAGACGCCAATCTACGCGAACGAGTTGGGTTCACGCCAAAGCATCACCAGGCGGTCTTGCAACTACTTCACACGAACGAGTTAGGTTCACCAGCTCGCTTTACCGTATCGCTAGTCGGCATGGCCTTATATACGAACATGCTAGCAGCCTCGTTTCACTGCATCACCTGTCCTCATAGCCCTTAGCTGGATCGCGTACGTCAGCTGGCGTCATCACGTACCCTAGCTTGTGTCATCAGATCGTCCATGGGCCTCGCAGAAATCAGAGCTGGCATCAGCAGCGTGCACGCTTCAATCCGACGGCTGATGTGAAGGAATCGGACGATTCTCGTGGCTGCATTAAAATCAGCTCAAAAAGGCAATCCTAGTAATACGGCGTGTGAAATTTAAAGAGCGTCCTCGGATCGCCTCAAAATAAACAGAGGACGGACGGCGACGACCTCGGGCTTTTTCGGGAACAAACCCTAAAGCGACTCGATCACTCGGTCGTTCCGACGGACTCTCCTCAGAAGCGACCGAGCAGCGTGGCAAGAGATTAAGAACCAGGGCGCGTGACGCAGAAGGTCTAAGTTCCGTAACTGCGATCCGTAGAACGATACTGTAGCTGCCTATTAATATCTAGTATCTGTGCCAAGCCAAGGCCCAGCCCTGAGTCTACCCCCAAGGGTACCGTTTTCGTTGCGTCCGCTACGCGGCAATGCCTAGGTTGTGTGGGTGCGTGGTGTACGTTCCCGCCATTTGAATGGATGGGTGACGACCACGATGGTGCCTGTACGCCTGCTTCTTGGCCTCGATAATGGATCTTCATATATATACACCATATTCATGTAAACCATATTCATATACACCATCCTAAGTTCGGAACAACCTAAAAAAACATAAACCTATAATATTTTTGTGCCTTTCTCCTGCGAACTCTCTTCCCGTCGATTTCCAGCAACCAGAATTTATAATAATTAAAAAAAAAACATGTTTTAGTATTGGGTCGTCTCCTAGTCTTCATATGTGTGATGGCAGTACCCGTCGTCGACTCATGCTCGCCCATACTGAAGTTGGTCAGCCGTTGCTTAAGTTGGCCGATGTGAATGTCGCCAGTCACCTTGTACATCTTCATTTATGAACTGCCAGGATTGGAAGCCTGCGTCTTCACAAAGTCGGCAAATCTGCCACGCCACTTGGACCGTCGACAAGAAGCACGTCAATATGACAATATTTGTCAGCACGTGAGGGGCGCAAAATTGCGCTAGGAATTCGACGTCTTCGACATCTTCACGGCGCCGTCGGCGAACTCTTCACATGCATAATCTCCAGCTGCGGCTGAATTGACCGAGTCCACGTTGTCTGATCATGCTGATCGACAAGCACCTTGGGCACTGTGATTTTTGTTCGGCAAAAGTAGCCATACATCGGGGCGATGCTGTTATATAAACAGCTTGTGGCAGTAGTTAGTGTAGTGTTACAATATTTGGTGGTGCACCTTGCTTGCTTTGCCTATAATCTTGTACCTTCTCTCCTTATTGAACTACTTTTCTCCCTTGGAACTCTCTCGACATCTCTCTTGAACCCTAAACCTAAGCTACTAAGTCACTCTAGCCATGGCTTCTAAGCCCAACTAGCTTAGTATCTTAACATGGTTTCAGAGCATTTATGCTCCTGGCCTGTGGGCCCGCCTACTGCTTCCGCTGCTAAGCGCGCGGCGGTTTTCTGCCCGCCGTGCGCCCCGGGCGCGCACCGCGGTTTCGTCGCCCGTCGTGGCGCCCTGGGGGCTCGCGCGTCGCCCTCCTCCCGTCGCCTCGTCGCGGTGCCCTGGGGACCAGCGCACCGGCCCCTCCCGTCGCCTCGTCGCGGCGCCTTGGGGGCCCGCGCGTCCCCCCCCTCCCGTCGCCTCGTCGCGGCACCTTGGGGGCCCGCGCGCCGCCCCCTCCCGTCGCCTCGTCGCGGCGCCTTGGGGGCCCGCGCGCCGCCCCCTCCCGTCGCCTCGTCGCGGCGCCTTGGGGGCCCGCGCGCGGCCCCTCCCGTCGCCCGTCGAGCCGCCCTCGGGGGCCCGTGCCCCCCCCCCCCCCCCCCTCCCTCCCGTCACCCGCCGTGGCGCCCTCGGGGGGCCCGCGCCCTGCTCCTTTGTGGCGCCCAGAAGACCCCCCGCCGCCTCCCTTTCCCTCCGTGCACTGCCCCCGTTGCTTCCCGCGCTCCTGCCTGCGTTAGGGTTTGGGGGTGGCGGGCATGGGGGTAACCTGCAGCTCCTCCTCCTCCTCCGTCTCCCACTGCTGCAGCTACCGCTGAGGGGGGTGGGTGTGTGGGAGCCGAGGGTTTAGGGTTTAAGGGGGGTGCCGTGGGAGTGGAGCTTGGGGTATAGCAAGGGGTGTGTGAAAGGGGGGTGGGACAGTTGGGGGAGGTTGAGCGGAGGCTGCCGTCTTGTCGTCCGCAGCACCTGTAGTCCGGGGCGCTGTCCTGGTAGCCCAGAGAGCCTGCTGCGCCTGTCGCCCGTGGGTCCGTTGCTCCTGCCGCTCGTCTTAGCCGCGGAGCCTGTTACTCCAGTAGTCCGGGGCGCTGTCCCGGTAGCCACTGTGCCAGCCGCTCCTGTTGCCCGTGTGTCCGCAGCTTCAGCCGACGCCTCCCATCTCCTCTCCTCTCACAGTTCCTCCTCCTCCTCACTTCCCCTCTCCTTCTGCTGTGCTTGGTGTACCTCTTCAGGGAGTGTCTCTGCATTGGCTTCCTGCTGCAAGCAGTTTAGGGGGTGTGTTGAAATATATTTCTTATATAAACTGCTTGTAGCAGTAGTTAGTGTAGTGTTACATTATTTGGTGGTGCACCTTGCTTGCTTTGCCTATAACCTTGTACCTTCTCTCCTTATTGAACTACTTTTCTCCTTTGGAACTCTCTCGACATCTCTCTTGAACCCTAAACCTAAGCTACTAAGTCACTCTAGCCATGGCTTCTAAGCCAACTAGCTTAGTATCTTAACAGATGCTGCCATTTATTCCAGCGGACACATTGAACTTCCACATACACCCGTCTCCACGTAGCCGAGCGGAGCGACGTCGACCATCGACGTTCCATCCTGAGCTGCCTATAGCCGTCGACCTCAGGACGGCTGTGTCCCACCGATTCCGATGATGTCGGCTTTGACAGATCCTTGGATCTCTCCGTGCGTCACCCTTGCACCTCCGTCGCCGATGATGTTGCAGTCTTCTTTATCGACTCTAGATTGGGGAGAGGTGGAATCTTTGTCTGTTTCAGCACGGGAAGTTAGATACCGTACTTGGATGCCCAGTGCGCACAAGTTCCGAGAAGCAAAAGCTCTAAATCCCCATCGCTGATTTCTCCACGTTGGTGGATCTCGCGCACGGCAGCCTCTCGCACCGCAGGGTATTTCCTACTCCTTTAGCAACATCTGGGTCGACCATGGCGGTATAGACGACGGGCTGCTTGCCTAAGCTGCGACTTACAGTAGCTATTATGTCAAGATAGCAGGCGAAAACGGGCGACGGGGGGCGCTTCGACGGGCGACGCGCGGGTCGACGGGGTAGGAAACCGCTACGCGCCTCGGGGCGCACGGCGGGCAGAAAACCGCCGCGCGATTCGTGCGCGCGGCGAGCAGAAAACCGCAAGGCGCTCCGAGCGCGTGGCGGGAGGAAAAACCGTCGCGCGCCACGGGGCGCGCGACACACAAGACAGCAGCGGAAGCATCGGGCGGGACCACCCACAGGATCGACCCAGGAGGGTCGACCTGCTCTGATACCATGTCAAGATAGCAGGCGAAAACGAGAAACAACAAGGAGAGGTTTTCACTAGCAGGCAGCTCAGTACATATAGCAAACCCTAATTCGGGCTGTACTCGCTATAGAGTACCCCACTGCAGGCTAGACAAACATATCATTCTGACATATTATGCAACGTGCTCGGACTAATACCTAATACGAAAGACTTTAGCAGGTCCGAAGTTGAACATGTGCGTACAGTCCGTACTAAAGTAGGTGCAAGCTGTACAGCTGACAATTGCGTGCACTTGATGCACATTGCACAAGTGCTAGGTTGTAGATTGCATATAAACACCGCCAACCAATCGCAGCCAAGCTTGAACCATCAAACCCAAAACATCTGTCGTACTTGAGACCCTGCCAGCTTTAAGTGGCTCTAAGACATTTGTTGATCTTGCACTTTGCTGTAAAATCTTGCAATCAAGTTTAGAGATGTACATACACAAGATACCAAACCAGGGCCTCAGATTCGTTTTGGGGCACGCTGACCGCTCAATGTCCCTCGAAGGCCAACACTGATTTTCAGTGTCGTCATGTTGAAAACACTGATTTTTCAGTGTTCAAAAAATATAAAGGCTGAACAGTAAGCGTTGTTATTCACTGTTACGTTGATTGTTATAGCTGTATCAGTGAAGGGACTTAGCTTAGCGAGGAATTTGGGCAAACATCATCGCTTATGGGCTCAATCTTGGCGAAGGTACCGTGGTTGGCTGCCTAAGTAGCAAGTGACGCCGCCAATGACGGCGAAAAGGCAGGGCGGGAATTCCTGATTCAGGGTCGCGCTCGATATAAACACAGAAAAATCAGAGTTCGAAATTTAAAAACACTGAAACATCAGGGTCTTAAAAACAAAAAGGCTGATGGATCAGGGTCATGATAAAAAACAAGGGTCAAACTTCAGGAATTCAGGGTAAAAATCCTGACTTCTGAGGCCCTGTACCAAACACCCCCATTTATGCCATTAAAGACTATATTACCAGTACATGCAAGTATGGTGACAATCATGGCAAGATGGGAGACCTAACCACAAGGCGCACCGGCACAGAGTGCCCATGTTGGTCAGACCATGTGATGGTTCCAAACCTAAATGCCTCCAAAGGCAAGAGCCTAGTGATCGCAACCCTAAACACCCTGGATTGTCCAGGATTGATTGTAATCTTCTTTGGCCACACTTTCACGTTAAAGCCTGGTGGAGGGTTCACCTTTACTTGATAAGTAGATTGCAAGTTGTAGACGTTTTTCACTCGTCTGTATACTACTGTAACGCCGTGCAGTCGAGTCACCGCTATCGAGGCGCGGTTGAGGTTCCAAGCAAAAATCGGGTGCGCCTTTCCCATGCGCCAGAATCGCTTCTTCGTTCTTATCGGGTCCCTCATCATAAGGAAATTCACGAAATGCTTGTGCGCCGCATGAAACGTGAGCCCAGGGTCCAAGACACGCGTGGGATCCACGTGGCCTCCTCCATAGTCCCACGCGTTCGCCTTCTTTCCATTTGCCCGTTGAATTGGCTGCCCGTTTTCATTCCTCGTATACGCCGTCGTGGTTATCGCGGAAATCACTTGCGACGGGGACCAGCTCGGCTTGCTCTGCACGATCAGCGCCATGATCCCCGCCAAGTGCGGCGTCGACATTGACGTTCCGGAGTAGTAGTTAAACTCGGGCGGGTCGGTCGCAGCAGTCTCAAGCGACTTACCGGGAGCTGCGGCCCATAGTTGGTACCCCGGACCGATGATGTCGGGTTTAAGGATGTCATTAGTGGGAAAGTCGCGCATGAGAAGTGCGGGAGGGTAGATTGGGCTGCGTGGGGGACCCGTGGAGGAGAAGTAAGCGAGCTGAGGGGCGTTGGAGGAGTGGGAGACGGTGAAGGCGGAAAGCGTGGCTGTTGGGCTGCATTGAGATGAAGGGTAGAGGGAAGGGGGTGGGGAGAGAGAGGTGGGGGGGAGAGGATGGGAAGGGGAAGGGCGAGATGGAAGGGAAAGGTGGAAAAGGCGAACGAAATAGAAATGTGGAAATGTAAGGAACACGACGAGGAAGAGAGGAGGGCGGAGTGGAGGAAATAGAGAGGGGAGGGTGGAGTAGAGGGGGGAGGTAAGGCGGGTGGGGTGGGTTTGGGGTTGGGGGTTTGCAAAAATGGCCATTCAAGGAAGCGAGTGTTTTGAAAATAGAGGATATTTGAGAAATACATCCCGAGCATGCGAGAAGACAAAATGAGAGAAAGAGAGAAAGAAAGAGGAAAGAAAGAAAGGAAAGAAAGAAAGAAAGAAAGAAAGAAGAAAGAGAAGAAGAAAGAAAAGAAAGAAGGAAGGAAGGAAGGAAGGAAGGAAGGAAGGAAGGAAGGAAGGAAGGAAGGAAGGAAGGAAGGAAGGAAGGAAGGAAGGAAGGAAGGAAGGAAGGAAGGAAGGAAGGAAGGAAGGAAGGAAGGAAGGAAGGAAGGAAGGAAGGAAGGAAGGAAGGAAAGAAGAAGAAAGCAAGAAGAAATAAATAGATTAGGAATTTCTTGCCTGCTTTCAGCTTCAATGTATTTTTTAACGGTCTGCCCGTACGAGAACCTCAACACAATGCTGGGAGTCTTCGAGTAGGAGAAGATAGGAGCCGCGTCGTACTCCGCGGCCTCGCTTATAACGAGTATAGCAGCTGCTCCCAGCGTATCTGCCCACATAAGCACTTCGTCAACGCTGGATTCCCGGTGCACCCACTCAGACACAATGCACACGAGAAACTTGCCGGCGACTTTCGTTGCATCTATGTATTCCGGGTCGCAGGTGAAAGCCTGGTGGATGGAAGGGGTGTGGAATTGAATTTTGAGTCGACAGGTCGAATTTCGTTGCATCTATGGATTCAGTGTCGCAGGTGGAAGCCTGGTGGATGGAAGGGGTGCGGAGAGGGCAGGCGACTCTTTGAGTTGACTGTCAGCCCACCTGGCAATCTCTGAGTCGTTTGAGAAGTTTCTCCTCTGAAATTTCGCGTGGACTCAGATATAATTAATATGGAACCCCAGCTGTGAACCCCGGCTCTGAAACAAAGTGTGTGAGACCACAAGTGTGAAGCTCACCTTGCGCCATACCTCTCTGGAATCTGAGGCATCTCAGCAAGCAACAAATGGCGGCGCTGAGTCAAGTAGCAACAACGGGTAGCTGTTTCTAAGCGAGCACAAGGTGCAGCGTTGACCAAGCGAGCACAAGGTGCAGCGTTGACCAAGCGAGCACAAGGTGCAGCGTTGACCAAGCGAGCACAAGGTGCAGCGTTGACCAAGCGAGCACAAGGTGCAGCGTTGACCAAGCGAGCACAAGGTGCAGCGTTGACTAAGCGAGCATGCCAACCAGATAAGAAGCTCACCGCGCCCGTGGCTTCGGGAGGGGACGCAGCATCCCCGGCGAGCATGAGAGGCAGAGGTGACGCCGTGGCAGCGGTGCCGCCGAGACTATACCCTGTGAAGGTGGTTCCATCGCCCAGGGTGAACTCAGCCGTGTACTTTCGACCCATGGTGCTGCGGCGGGGAGCAGTGGGGAGCGGTGGTGGGGGGATAGGAAGTTGAGAGGAGGTGGTTCCATCGCCCAGGTGAACTCAGCCGTGTACTTTCGGCCCATGGTGCTGCGGTGGGGAGCGGTGGGGAGCGATGGTGGGCGGTTGTGGGGGGAGAGGAAGTTGAGAGGAAGGTGGTTCCATCGCCCAGGGTGAACTCAGCCGAGTACTTTCGGCCCATGGTGCTGCGGTGGGGACCAGTAATGGGCGGGTGGGGGGAGAGAAGGAGTTTGAAGAGGGGAGGGGGGAAATTGGAAGGAATGTGGTTCCATCAGCAGGGGTGAGCATGAGAGGCAGAGGTGACGCTGTGGCAGTGCCATTTGAAGGTGGTTCCATTGGCTATCCTGGCTGGGAATTGGAAAGGAAGAGAAATTCCCACAAGACATTCTCACGAGACACGAGACATCACCACGAGACATTCCCCATGAGACATTCCCCATGAGACATTCCTCCCGAGACATTCATGGGTGCCCCTCACATCCTTCGGGGATCGAACCATCACTTCTTCCTTGCTATAATCACATTCCATACATCACTTGCAACACAACCCCCTCACTCCAGCCGTACCTTGCTCCCACTGTGAGGTAGAAGGGAGAGGCACTCGAGAGGGTGCCCCATATGCTCATGGGGTTGGGGCGACTTTCATTGCCAGCTGTATGAGTTATCTCAAACACACCACCACCCTCCCCACCCCGCCGATCCAGCCGTACCTTGCTCCCACTGTGAGGTAGAAGGGAGAGGCGCTCGAGAGAGTGCCCCATATGCTCATGGGGTTGGGGCGACCCTCGTTGCCGGCTGCAAAGGCTGTGACCACCCCGGCCTGCAAGTTGTACAGGTGAGAACGGGAGGTTGAAAGAATAGGCAGGGTGAAAATGGGAAGGGTGGGAATGGGCAGGGAAAAAGGAAGAAGCACTGGAGGGAGTACCCCATATGCTCATGGGGTTGGGGCGGCCCTCGTTGCCGGCTGCAAAGGCTGTGACCACCCCCGCCTGGACGATGGACAGGTGAGGATGGGAAAGGGGGGGAGGATGAGTGGTAGATTATGGGAAGGTGAGAGTGGGAGGGAGAGGATGGGAGTGTGAGAAGAGTGCCCCACAGTGAAAGGACTGGCCCACATGCTCATGGGTTTGGGCTGACCCTCACTGCCAGCTGCAAAGGCCGTCACCACCCCGGCCTGAAATTTGGACAGGTGAGGATGGGAAGGGTGAGGATGGGAAGGGTGAGGATGGGAAGGGTGAGGATGGGAAAGGTGAGGATGGGAAGGGTGAGAAAGGGAGGGTGAGAAGAGGAGGATGAGAAAGTGAGGGTGAAAGTAGGAGGTTGAGAATGGGAGGGTGAGAACTAGAGGGTTGGTTTGGGAGGTTCAGATCGGGAGGGTTGAGTTGGGAGAGCGAGAATTGGAGGGTGGGAATAAGAGGTTGAGAATGAGATGGGAGTGATGAGGTTGCTGCATAGGACATGACCATCTAGCCGGACCGGATCAAGAGGCATGAGATGATTGCATTGGTCTGCTGATGTTGGCGGTTTCCTCTTTGCCTGTCGCACGGGCTGCTATGAAACCTCAACTGGAAGCACATGGCAAGGGCCCCCCACGAGCACAATGTGCCATCCACCCCGTCAGCTACTGCCATTTCCCAAACAGGCTGAAATTGCTGCCAAGAGTGGCACAGATATCTATGTAATCCAAGAATTCTCACCTAAAGACCTCGCAAATAGGGAAGGTCCTGGAAGTTACTTTTGAGAATTCTCAAAGATGATCCGCACCTTAAGTCCTCGCAAGTAGGGCAGTCCTTGAAAGTACATGGCAAGACCCCCCCACGAGCATGATATCACATCCACCCCGTCAGCTACTGCCGTTTCCCAAGCAGGCTGAAAGTGCTGCCAAGGGTGGCAGAGGGCAGAAATATATGTAACCCGAGATTCTCACCTTAAGCCCTCTCAAGTAGGGCAGGTCTTGGAAGTACATGGCAAGGCCCCCCCACGAGCATGATATGACATCCACCCCGTCAGCTACCGCCTTCTCTGCAGCAGCTATGAGGTCAGAACCGGACCCCACCCCTTCATACTCCCCAACGATCCACAGCCCCTTGTACACTGCCAGCCTGGCTCGGGGAGCCATGCCCGAGGCTGTGCCGAAGGTTCGGCCGCCTGTTGTCACCTCCACACCTGCGTTGCCAGCAGCACCCCTGAGGGGGAACGAGGGGTGGGAGGGGAAAGAAGGGAGTAGGTGTGGAATTTTCATAACACTCATATCCAACACTCATATCCAACACTCATATCCAACATGCATGTCGAAGATGCATGTCCAACATGCATGTCCAACATGCATGTCCAGCATGCATATCCAACATGGATATCCAGCACACATGTGGAAGACACGTTGTGATGTCCACATTGAAGTAAATTCCGCTCTGCACCCTTCAGGAAGTGCCTCCCCCCCCCAACCACCTTGCCACGCAATCACTCACCCCGCACACCACGTGCCTCTGGAGGCAACTCAAAAGCACTCACCCCGCACACCACGTGCCGTGCTGCAGCATGTCCCGTGCCGACCGGTACTCAGTTGAGATGTCTATTTTGCCAAAATTCCGCTCTGCCCCTTTTATGAAGAACCTCGCCCCAACCACCTTGCCGTTGCACGCTGTGAAGTCGTCTGTTTTGCTGCACACGCCTCTCCAGCGGACGGGGACAGAAGAGTAAGGCACTCCGTTTGGGTCCTGCAGTAAAAGACGATAGGGGAAGGAGTAGCAGAGAGGAGAAGAAGGGAGGTGGTGAGCTGTAGTGCACACGCCTCTCTAGCGCACGGGGTAGAATAATACGGCACTCCTTTTGGGTCCTGGGGTTGGGTGAGAGGACATGCAGAGGGAAAGAGGCATCAAAAGAGGAAAGAAAAGGGGACCAAAGGAAAGAGGGGTCTAAGGTAAGGTCTGGGGTTTGTGATTTAAGAGGTTGAGAGAAGCGAGTGTGAGGTGCTCAAACATACTCAAAGGGTCGGGGAAGGATGGGTGTTCAGGCCAAATTCCGGAATCTATCACCCCAACTATCACTCCCTCTCCTGCGTTGCTCTGCCGGCCATTCGCCGGCCACAGGCTCGAGTCGAGCTTGAGGAACTTAAGCTGATGCATGGCGCTCATGCGCACTTACAGGGTTGGAGAAGGAGGGAGTTGGGGCTTACAGGGTTGGAGAAGGAGGGGTGTTGGGGCTTACAGGGTTGGAGAAGGAGGGGAGTTGGGGCTTACAGGGTTGGAGAAGGAGGGGTGTTGGGGCTTACAGGGATGGAGAAGGAGGGGAGTTGGGGCTTACAGGGTTGGAGAAGGAGGGGAGTTGGGGCTTACAGGGTTGGAGAAGGAGGGGTGTTGGGGCTTACAGGGATGGAGAAGGAGGGGAGTTGGGGCTTACAGGGTTGGAGAAGGAGGGGTGTTGGGGCTTACAGGGTTGGAGAAGGAGGGATGTTGGGGCTTACAGGGTTGGAGAAGGAGGGATTTTCGGGCCAAATCCCCGAGTCGATCACTCCAATGATCACTCCCTCTCCTGCGTTGCTCTGCCCGCCATTCGCGGGCCACAGGCTCGAGTCGAGCTTTAGAAACTCAGGGGAGTGCACTGAGGTCACTCGCACTGTCCTGTCTCTCTCCACCTCTGCCACTGCTGGGTGCCTCTTCAGCTTCTTTACCTCAGCACCAGTCAGCTGCGCTGCGAAGCTGTTCATCAGGTATGTGTAGCTGATGGGTGGAAAGGGGGGAGGATGGAAGGGGGTCAGGGTGAATGGGAAGCGCAAGGGGGAAGGGGTTGAATGAACCATGCTGGATGCAATTTGAGCCGCCTTGCCTCTGCAGCGGTGAGCTGCGCTGCAAAGCTGTTCATCAGATAGGTGTAGCTGAGGGGTGGAAAGGGAGGAAGGTGGAAGGGGAGGAAGGTGGAAGGGGAGAAGGGTGATAGGAAAAGGTGGGGCTGTGAATCAGGCAGGGTCACAGAGGTCACAGTTTGAGATGAGCTGTGAATCCGCTGCTCCCAAACACAGAGGTTTCTCAAACACAGAGGTCACTCCTCACTCGTCGTGTTTTGAGTCGACTCAAAACACAATCACTCCTCACTTTTCCACCCTTCACGGAGCCACTGCTACCCTGCCAAAGGGTGGGTTGGGCTGTGATGCTGCCCCCAAGGTACAAGAGCAGTGGGGACGCAAGTGGAGTAGTGGTTGGGACCCTCCACCTCTTCAAACCGAATAGTACCTCTTTCCCCCAGTTTCCCTTTCCCCCTCAATGTTCCCATACTCCCCCTTCTCCCCCTTCCCCCCCTTTCCCCTCTCCCACCTGTGGAAAATGGCTGAGGATGGGATCCCGAGAGACTGCAGCAGGCTGCGGTGAGAAGCTTCCAGGAAGCGGGTGAAGGCCTGGACGTGTGGTAACCGCACGTCGGGTCGCGTGAGTCGTCCCCACGGGGTTGAGCGCATGATGCGCGCCGCACGTGCACTCAGCTGCTGCACCGTCAGCACTGCTGACGTGGCTCCACTTGCCATCGGTGCCTTGTCTCCAGCTGGTGTTGCTGCTGGTGAAGACGATGACGCTGATGCTGAGCTGGCTCCGCTCATGCCAGGTGGCATGCCATGCATGGCGCTGACAGTAGAAGAAACAGCAGCAGGGTAGAAGGATGAGTTCTGGGATGGTCCCGTGACAGAATCAGCAGCACCGACACCAGCAACCCCCGAAGCACCAGCACCTGCACCTCCAGCAGCAGCAGCTGCTCCTGCGGCTTCTTCTGCAGCCTCCTCTGCTGCTGCGGCCACTGCAGCAGCGGCAACGCGGGCCAGCAGGCGCCGCCCAACAGACCGTGATTTCATCTTTCTCAGCCGCTCACCCACCCTCTCCACCAGCACATCCACCCCAACTCTTGCAAACGGCAGTGCGCTCACCCTCACTGCTCCTCCTCCTCCTCCTCCTCCTCCACCTGCTACTGCTGTTGCTGCTACCCCTGCAGGCCCCTCCGCCCCTCCTGCTGTTCCTGCTGTTCCCATTACTGCTATCTCCATAGCCTCCTCTGCAGCAGCCGCACTGGCAAACTGAATATCCGCATCGAAGCCAATTTCACCTGATTCTGATCCTGTCGGTTTCACTTCTGATTCTGCCACTGCCATTGTTGCTGTTGCCCCTGCTGCTTCTTCTGCTGCTGATCCTGGTGCCGTGCCATTGGCACTGCTTCCACCGATGCTCCCATTGCCATCACCAATAGAGCCACCATCCTCCTGACTGTCCTCATTATCCTCATTTTCATCCTCGTCATACTCGTCCTCGTTATCATCCACAGTCGCTGTGGCCCGCAGCCCGCTGACTCCGCCCCGATAGGACAACACGGACGGCACCGATGTTAAGTGCACAATGTACTGCTTCGTGTTGGGCCTTCCGGCTGTTATAGAGAGGTGTGGTGGAGGGGGGAAGAGAAAGCAAGGGAGGAAGGAGCAGGCAGTTAGTGGGTCTCGGCCCATCAACTTCACTCCCCACCTGAGCTGTGACGGCACAGATGTTAAATGTACAATGTACTGCTTCGTGTTGGGCCTTCCGACTGCTGTTAGGAATGAGGGGGATGGGGCAGAGGGGGAAGAAGGGGTAAGCAGGGAGGAAAGAGCAAGAAGTGAGTGGGTCTCAGCTCATTGACTTCCCCTCCGGTACCTGTGAAGGTACTGGCAATAAATGCACCATGTACTGCTTCGTGTTGGGCTTCCGACTGCTGCTAGGAATGAGGGGGATGGGGCAGAGGAGCAAGAAGGGAGGTAAGCAGGGAGGAAAGAGCAAGAAGTTAGTGGGTCTCATCCCATTGACTTCCCATTGAGCAAGAAGTTACTGGCAATAAATGCACATTGTACTGCTTCGTGTTGGGCTGTTAAAGAGTGGTGGGGCCAAGGGGGGAAGAAAAAAGAATGGAGGAGAGAACAGAGAGTGAGTGGTCTAGGCTCTGACGGCAAGATGACCATGTCCTAGTAGTACTAGACCGAGTTTTGAGGCGCCTCATAAACGCACCATATACTACTACTTGTAGTAGTACTGCAAGACTGAGACCCTAACGTGTACTAAGACACTATTGGGATACTGAAAGGACACTTCTGAGACAGATTGTGGCCACGAAAGCTGTTTAGGATACTTTTGGGATAGGGAGAGAGACTTCATTTAAAAAGAATCTCTGGAGACAGATGGACGGTCAAATTTGGTGATGTACTTGTGTTGAGCTTTCCGGTTGGTTGGATGAAGGCAGGAAGAAGGGGGGTGTGGGGGTTCAGAACATGGGGGAGAGTGGGGGACGTGGACAGGGAGGAGGGTGTGTGTTTTGAGCCGACTCAAAACACATCTAGTAGTAGTATTCAACATTGTCTGAACCCTATTCTTTGTTTTACCTGGTTGTGCAACATGATGGACAGCAGAGCACGGAGACAGAAGACAGCCCAGGAGAGAAACGGTAGCAGCGACAACCAGAAAACATGGAAAAGCCCCGAGTTCAATACTTGGTCTGCTCAGATTCATGATTGCGATGCGGTTAGAAGTACGCTGGCTTCTTGTATGGAAACTTGGAATTCTACTATAACATGTCTGTGGGGAAAGCGCTAAAAGGAACCCGCTCAGCTAAAATCGCAAAACAAATTCATCATTGGTTCTGTATGTTTCTTGATTTATTCTGGATCTTTGAGTTCAGTAACACTGCTCGTAGTCGGTAGTATCTTAGGAAAGTGAATACATTCCGATTTCATTTCTTGCATTTTCATACCTAACTGAGAAAAATTAGACCCCAAGAGACTCGTAGGTAGTGACTTAGGGAAGCAAAGACAGTCCGATTTCATTTCCTGCATTTTCATACCTAACTGAGAAAGATTAGACCCCAAGAGACTCGTCGATAGTCTTAGGAAAGCTAGGACGTTCTGATTTCATTTCTTGGATTGTCATACCTAACTGAGAAATACCAGACCCCAAGAGACTCACTGAGGCGTATATCAGTCGGAAATCTGGAGCCGCACCTCTGGACACGGAGGCCTTCGTCATCCAGATTACACATTTCGCTTTACTCGTCAAGGTCTCGTCAATTGTCCGGTTACCTTACAACAATGGGACCTGACCTACTCAAAAGCTTTCGCCCTCGTCCGTAGTACAGCTGGGAGGGAGTTTCTTGCGGGGTCGTCGTGGCGAACCCTGAGTCAGGCTAGCTTGCCTTGTTGGCATTCGTGCATTCGACACGTCATGCTTGACAAGAGTTGACGCACAACGACTACACTCTGCTGACTTATGATTGCGGGTCTTCACCTAAAACAGAGCTTCATCCAAAATGATGCAAAACATTACTGAAGCTGATGAATGTGGTGGATCAAATCAAAATACACAAATAAATACCACACCAGTAGTACGAGAACATGAGGCGGTTCAAAACCTGTCTGCACGTCTGTAGGGGGTTTAGTAATTGGACATGTGTATACAAGACGACTCCTTGTATTATTGACCTGGGGGTTTCTATTCAGGGGGTCTGCATGTCCAGATGAATGAATACAGTAAGTTTATCCAATAACGTGGAGAATACACTAATACAGAACTAGTCAGCCATGGCATGTTTTAAGAACAAAGCAACTTTTGCATGGTCCTTTTGAATCCCATCCTCCTTTGTAACCCCACTCGACACATCTACAACAGAAGGAGCCAGTACTGTAACTGCCTCTGCCACATTTTCTGCATTTAGACCGCCTGCTAAAATCCAACCTCTCCTGCTTTCGCCAGCTGGCACTTTCAGATTGGACCAATCGAACCGCTCTCCACTGTGGTGGGGGAAAAAAAAAAAGCAACAGGGAACGCATGTGCAGAGAAGTGGAGACAGGACAGGAGCAGGGGCGGGGGGAAGTCCAAGGTAAGGGGTAGGGAGGATAGAAGAAGCAGCAGAATGTTAAAAGCATGCAATCTATAAGATCAACGCATCTGCCCAGAAGGGAGAGGTGCAGATAAGGAAAGCGAAGGCATAAGGGGCTGGGGCGCATAATCCAACGCCTAAGAAAGTTATGCTGCCATAAGGGCTTGCCCCCACCTGCCCCCTTGCCCCCACCTGCCCCCTTGCCCCCACCTGCCCCCTTGCCCCCAACTGCCCCCTTGTCAATAAGGATCCAGTCATGTTGTGGACCAGCGGAAGAAGAGGAGGACGAGGAGGAGGAGCGGGAAGAATAAGGGAGGAGGAGGAAGCAGGAGAGAGAGAGAGTGAAGGACCGTTCGAGAGTGAAGGGGGGTCATTCATGCTAGTGCTGGCCCCCTTCAGGCATGCACCCACCTGCCCCACTGCATGCCAATAAGGATCCAGTCAGGTTGTGAAGATGAGAGGAAGAAGAGGGGTCGATAAACGCTACCCCCTTACCCACTCCCTTGCCTCCACCCGCCCATTTGCCTGCACCTGCCTCTTTGCATGCCGTCAATGAGAATCCAGTCAGGTTGTGGAGAAGAGGAAGAAGAGGAAGGGGGGGATAAACGCTGCCCCCTTACCCACTCCCTTGACTCTACCCGCCCTTTTGCCCACACCTGCCTCTTTCCCTCACCTGCCCCCTTGCATGCCGTCAATCAAAATCCAGTCAGGTTGTGGAGAAGGGGAAGAGGAGGGGGGGGAGGAGGAGGAGGAAGAGGAAGCGGCGAGGGAGGAGGGCAGGGGGGTTTGCACGACGCCGTGTGAATCGGCATGGAGCACGAAGATGGTGGATAGCCAGGCGGGCAGGTGGGGGAGGGACGCTCGTGCTTTTTCTCCGTGGAGCTGGGGGGTAGAGGGATGGGGAAAGGGCGTGGGGGAAGGAAGGGAAGAAGGGTTCACAGGGTTGGGGTGTGAGTCGGCGTGAAGCACAAAGATGGTGGATAGCCAGGGAGGGAGGTGGGGCAGAGCTGCTCGTGCTGTCTCGCCGTGAAGCTGGGGGAGCAAGGGGGGAGGGAGGAACCGGGGAGAAAGGCAGGGTTCACATCGTTACGCGTGAGTCGGCGTGGAGCACGAAGATGGTGGATAGCCAATGGGGGAGGTGGGGGAGAGATTCTCGTGCTCTGGCTCCGTGTAGCTGGGGTGGGGAAGGGGTAGAGGGAGAGGGAGAGGGAGAGGGAGAGGGAGAGGGAGAGGGAGAGGGAGAGGGAGAGGGAGAGGGAGAGGGAGAGGGAGAGGGAGAGGGAGAGGGAGAGGGAGAGGGAGAGGGAGAGAGAGAGGGAGAGGGAGAGCGGAGGGAGGGAGAGGGAGAGCGGAGAGAGGAGAGAGGAGAGGAGAGGAGAGAGAGAGGAGAGAGAGAGAGAGAGGAGAGAGAGAGAGAGAGAGAGAGATAGAGAGAGAGAGGAGAGAGAGGAGAGGAGAGAGAGAGAGAGAGGAGAGAGAGAGAGAGAGAGAGAGAGGAGAGAGAGAGAGAGAGAGAGAGAGAGAGAGAGAGAGAGAGAGAGGGAACCCTTAGCCTCTTCCCTCAGCCTCTTCCCTCTTCCCTCAGCCTTCTCTGCCTATTTAAGGCTGCTAGCTCCCTGCTCCAGTCATTATTTTGTGTGGGGTTCGTTTTCGGCGGCCTTCGGCCGCGCACTCCTGGTGGCAAGGAACAAGGCACAGGACTGCTATTTTGGAAATTACACACACGCAAAGGAAGCAAGGGAGCAGCGCTCAACACAAGGGAAGACGGCATGCAGTTCTACGCTAGGCGAAAGCCTACATCGTGTACGGCTCGGCCCCCGCCACTTCAAGCATCGAGCGCATGCACGCCGATACCGCAAGAAGGAGATGCGCCGTTGACTGGAGCGTGTCCAAGGGAGTCCCGCCTTGAGCAGCCCCCACAAGATCCCCCACGTGGCGGGGGAAAGTACGGGCTAAGGGAGCTACCTCGGCGGGCGCATCCGACACGGGTGCCAACGGCGACTCGAGCGATTCTGCCAAAGTCACGCAGGATCCTCGGGTTCCTGGACCGAAACTGCTCGGAAATTCCGCGTGGCCGCACACACCGCCAGCTGCAAGTTCGCCAACACCTCACACGCCTCCGCCACATTCAGAATCCGGCACAGGGTCAGCATGGGATCTGTGCCCGCGCGAATGGGGGGAAGTGCAGTCTGTGCTTCGCGCGGAAACACCGTCGGCCAGCCAGGAGTCCGGCCAACGGATAATCGCGGCGCGGAAAAGCCGGGGAGCTGACGAGGGGTGCGGAACTGAGCCCTCTGCTCACGCGCTGGCAGATAATCACGCAGGGTCGGCGCACGCAGGGGAGCAACCTGGCCAGGGTCCGCTGCGATGGGGGGACCGTTGGTCACCTCAATGTGGACGTGAGTCGGCCCCCTGCTTGCCTGGGCCTGCCGCACCACCTCCACAAACGTGTTCGCGGCGCGATCGAGGGCAGGATCCTGCTGGCGACCACTACCGCCACGCCCTCCGCCATTGCGCCGGCCCCGCCGGCCCGCGGAACCTGCCGAGCGCGGACGCGGGGGGGTCTGCTCGCGGCGACCCGATTCCCAGCGACGCCCAGGCGACCCCCTCCCCCGCGTCGCCGGAGGTCCCCGCGGAGAGCGTGGCTCGGGGGATCGCGCTCGGGGTGAGCGCTGGCCTGCCCGACCACGAGGAGATGGGCGGCGAGGAGAGCGATGGCCGGCAGGGGACAGCTGATCGTCAACGCCGTCCCGCTGATCTTCGCAACGCTCTGGGGACCGGCGGCGAGGAGATTGCTGCCGCGGCTGCTGCCGGGGCGGCGAACGCCCGCGCTCCTGACGCGGCTGAGCAGCAGACCGGTTTGAGGCAATCTGAGCGGGGACCCACGAGTACTCCGGCGTATGAGGCTGCCGAACATGTCGCAGAGGAAGAGACAGCCCGCGCTCCAGGCAGGGGACAGGCTCAGACGCGGAGGGGCGCGCTGCAGCAAGAGGACGAGGAGCAGCAGGCCCCTGCGCACGGGGCGGATCGAGCCGTGCGCTCTCTGCAGTACTCTCCTGCGCGCAGTCGCGACCCGCGGTTGGGTTCATTACGCCGGAGCACGGAGCCACGGACGCCAGCAGGCCGCCAAAGACGAGGCCGTGGTTCTACCTCCGCGCCTCAGCCAGCACGCCGCGACGCAGAGGCAGGCACGACGCCGCGAGGTATCCGCGTGGCTAGAGGTGGGAGACGAGGCGGACGCAGAGGAGGCGTCTCAGTTCAACGACGGGGGGCTAGTAGCTTCGCGAGGGCCGCTCACCGGATCCTGCGGGAGAGAGCTGGAGATGGAGAAGAATCGAGTGATGAAAATTCTGTGGGTGACCCACTTTTTAACCCTGAAAGAGAGGGGAGTTCTAGTCCCTCTCCTTAGGTGGAAGAGGCAGAGCAGCACGAGGAGTTGGCTCAAAACCCAACACATAGCCGAGGCGCATCTGCAGTTCGAATTGGGAGACAGATTCGAGTCGGGGGGGGGGAACCGAGCCGCACAAATTGCAGATGGCACCCCTTCCCGAACCAATCAGCAGGGCGCAGACTTACCCACCCGCCAGCCAATGTTCAGTGCTGGCGACCTGGCAAAACGCCAGGACCTTTTCGCCGA